TTTGATGTTTATTGAACTTATATGGGCTCTCCAAGATATATTTTCGTCAATTAGTATCCCAAGAAATTTAGTTGTTTCTGTTCTTTCAATGTTTACTTTATCTATTTTTAGTGAGGGAAGGGTAGTTGGTATATTATTTTTTTGTTTTTTGGAATGAAACAATATGCATTTTGTTTTTTGTGCATTTAGTGATAACTTATCTATTATTTCAACCATAATTTTTTTTTTTTTTTATAAACTTTATAAACTATTGCTACAATTCCTTCTCTTGACATAATGTATAGTCAAAGAGAAAACAACAATAAATGTATACATATACAAATCATTAAAAATATATTGTCAAACACACTGTATTAAATACAAAGTATATGTTTTATATATTTTTTATGATAATAAATTTGATAAGATAATTTGGTGAAATAATTGTGATGTTGTAAGGAAGCTCGCAGAAGACTTAAAGAAGTCTTGTCATCGAGAACCTTTGAGACATAAAATAAGTAAAAAATTAAGAATATAAGAATTTTGGATTTTTTTTTTTTTTTTCTTTTTCACTTTCTTGACAAATATGTTTAAAACTTTAAATACTTTCTTCAAAGTATAAAGATTACCAGAATTACTAAGTTCTATATTTTGGGGTATGACTTTGTTATATAGGTAAGGGCCACGGTATACAATTGCATATTGCGAAATTTTTGTTTTTTTTATAGGCAACGTGAAATTTCCCGTTTCTTTTGTAGTATACTTATTAGCGTTAATTTGAAAAAAGTTATTAGAAAAATAATTTGGAACTAGTCCAAGTTTATATTTTAACATAAATAAAATATTTTAATATATATTTATTTGATAGATATTTAGTGCGTTAAAAGATTTAAGTAAAGGATCGGCATGAGTAAATTTATTTTTATTATAGTCTTGATGCACGTTTTTGATGCACGAATAGAAAATTTAATTTAGATTTATGTGTGCTCCCCCATGCAATGTTAGCATAGTTTAAATAACTTTGAATATAAGAAAAGTAGAGAATTTTATAACTATATTGTGAGAGCATTGGTTTAGCTTTATAAAGAGCACCTATATTTTTTGATATTTTGTTATTTATTGTATTTATATGGGCCTTCCAGGAAATCTTCTCATCAATAATTATTCCAAGAAATTTAGTTCTTTCAGTTCTTTTAATGCATATGTTATCTATTTTTAATGATGGTAGGATTGGTGGTATATTATTTTTCTGCTGGTTAGAATGAAACAAGATATATTTGGTTTTTTCTGTATTTAAAGATAATTTATTTGCCTTGAACCAGATGTTGAGATTTTCAAGATCAGTGTTCATTGATTCATAAAGTTCTTTGATGGATAACGATGAATAAAATAGATTTGTGTCATCGGCAAACATAATAACATCAAGTTTTTTTAAGGCTTTTGGAAGATCATTGATATAAATTAGAAATAGTAGGGGACCAAGAATGGAACCTTGAGGAACTCCGTATTTATTTCTAAAAGGTTTGAATATTTGTTATTGCCTGAAATTACGCATTGTTGTCTGCCACACAGGTAGCTTTTGAACCAATCAAGATTTATATTTTTTATTCCATATTTTTACTTTTTTTTTTAGTAATATAATATGATTGACAGTATCAAACGTTTTTGATAGATCTATAAAAGTTCCTAGTACAAAATTTCGAAAATAGCCTTGCTTATTTTTGAAAAACATTGAAAACAATATTACTGCAAATATCGTCTATACCTGGAGACTTGTTTTTTTTTTAAGAGATTTTATTGCAGTTTCAATTTCTTCAATTTTTAGTTCTTTAAAAATTAATTTGCAGTTAAAGTTTTTTTGGATAGGCTTCAAATGAGTTATTAGGAGAATAAATTTTTGAGGCCAGACTAGGGCCAGTGTTTACAAAAAATTTGTTAAATTTTTTTGAGATTTCAAGTTTGTTGTTATACTCTTTATTATTTATGAAAATTTTATTAGGTAAGCTATTAGATTTATAGTTTTTTATTCCAATTATTTCTTTCATAACTTCCCATGTTTTTTTTAATGTCACCATTTGAATTTTTTATTTGATTTGAGAAATAATTTTTTTTTGAACTTTTTTAATCTTTTCAAACAAATTTTTGTATTGTTTGTACGCAGTTAGGTTAGCTTCATTTCCATTTTTTTTAAAACTTGATATAAAGTTTTTGTTTTTTTTTTGAAGATTTTCCTATACCTTTGGTGAATTTAATCTTTTAAGCTTTTTGTACATGCATTCATAAAGGTCTTTAATTGAGTTCGATGAATAAAATAAGTTTGTGTCATCGGCAAACATAATAACATCAAGTTTTTCCGAGGCCTTTGTAAGGTCATTAAAATATAGAAGAAACAGAAGAGGTCCAAGAATGGAACCTTGGGGGACACCGCACTCAACTCTTTGTAGTTTTGATTGTTTATAATTATCTAAAAAGACACATTGTTGTCTGTTACTTAGATAGTTTTTGAACCAGTCAAGGGTTATATTTTTTATCCCATAGCTTTCAATTTTTTAAGTAAGATATTATGATTTACAGTATCAAACGCTTTTGACAGGTCTATAAAGATGTCTAGAACATACTGTTTTTTATCAAAAGAATCACTTTTGTTGTTAACTAGATCTAGGATTGCGTGTTCAGTTGAATATTGTTTTTGGAAACCAAATTGCTTTTTATTTAGGATTATATTTTGGATTAAATACACATACAATCTGTTATAGATTATTCTTTCGAGAAGCTTAGAAAAGGTAGGGAGTACCCAGATAGTTCTATAGTTATTAATTAAGTATGATTCACCTGTTTTAAATATTGGTACTACAATGCTGAATTGTTTGCTAATAACTTTTTATCGATATCATTTTTTGATTCCACTAGTTGTGTTCTACCTGATATAGCCGACAAACAGGTTGATCCATTGCTTGACATTCACATTACTCCAGCTTCTGAATCTAAAGTGATTTTCTGCTTGGACTCTTCTACAGTTTGTGGTTCGGACAACATACCCGCTATAGTCTTGCAAGTGGTCTCCGGAACTGTCGTCTATACTTTCAAAACTATTCAACAAATGCTTATCAGATTCTTGTTTTCCAGCCTGCTGGAAAACGGTATCTGTTATCCCTATTTTCAAAAACTCTGGAGAGCGATCTGACTCTAACTCTGCGATCTTACTCTAACTCTGCGATCTTACTCTAACTCTGCGATCTGACACTAACTCTGCAATCTGACTCTAACTCTGCGATCTGACTCTAACTCTGCGATCTGACTCTAACTCTGCGATCTGACTCTAACTATTTTCAAAAACTCTGGAGAGCTAGTCTAACTACCGTCCCAGTCTTCTTCTTTCTTCTTTCAGTCGTCTTCTTTCTTTCATAAGTAAGGTTTTTGAGGCTTTATTTGAATAAACACTTAATTCTTGATTCTGATAACTTACTTTCTGATCACCAATATGGATTTCGACTTTTTCGTTCTACATCTGATTTACTAACAGTAATAACCAATAGGTTTTATAGTGCATTAGATAGATGTAGAGAGGTTAAGATAATCGCTCTTGAAGTTTTTAAAGCTTTTGATAACGTTTGGCATGCTGGTCTTCTCCATAAGTTTTCTACTTACGGTGTATCAGGTAACATCTTTAAGAGTATTGAATCCTTCCTTTCCAATCGTAGTATAAAGGTTGTTCTCGAGGGACAGCACTATTTTTCATAAAGCGTAACTTCAGGGAATCCTGAAGTTACGGGTTATCTTTTATACGGGTTATATTTTAAACATAGTTGGACCTGCTTTTGCAGCCAATCTCCAACCATTATCATATTGTCGTAATATTGCTTTTCTTTCTCTTTTCTGTAAACACTATAGATAGCACAACAAACGCTAGCTCTAAAGAGCTAGCGTCTGTTGTGTCATCTACTAACAACATCTACTGTTGCATAGTGTTCCAAAAATTCTTATTCGTCTAGTTTCTTTCCTCGAGCATTACTTCTTTGGAACTCGCTTCCTTTATCTTGCTTTTCTGATTTATATAATTTGCAATCTTTAAAGTCGTCAGTCAATTGTTATCTTGCCCTATAAGCTTCATCTTTTCTCTTCCAGTAACTTGTAACTCTAATAATGATTGCTTGCAGCCTTTTTGAAAGCAAAGATATTTAAAAAAACAAAAAACGGTTGTCTTTATAATTTGAAGCAGTAAGGAAAAGTGTTTAAACTATGTGTCGGAAGCTATTGAAACTGTCTAAAATTTTCGCGCTCTGTTTATGAAAACAATTTTATTATATGTCAAATATAAAAAGAAAATTAAAACTCATTAAAAAAGGATTCTATGATAAGAAAATAAAAATGGCCGCTGATTCAGCAGGCTTAAAATACAATAATTTTTTTTTTAAATCACTTTAACTTTAATTAAGCATTTTTTTCAGTATTTAATTGAATCAACTGATACTTGATGCCATTTACAATTGCACTATTTCATAAGCATTTACTGAGCAATTACTGCAAAATATATTAGCAAAGCTGTTTATAAGCATTTACTGGGCCAAATACCATCAGTGAGTAAAAACATTAAAATCTTCTGAATTTCTTTCTATTATGACTTTATAAAGAAGAGTTGTTGATATTTGCATGTCTTTTAATCTTAGTTTGTTAGATATTTTAATTATTGTCATTAAAGCATCATCTTTTAGTATAGATGTTTATTTACTAATCATGAATAATAATACAGTTTTGATATCTTGATATTACCAAAATTTTACATTTTGAAGTAAAAAATTCCGATACTGACTTAAGCGAAATGTCTTGCTTTGGAAACAGACGCATCCTTTAGTACTTGTTTTTAAAAACTTTAAAAACAAAGAACAAAACATTAAACGCAAACAAAATACCATAACACAAAAATAAAAAAATACTTGTAAAACTTCTATAACCCTGAGACTAAAACCATAATCCCAAGGATAATTTATTATAAATAACCAAATTTATTAAGAAAAAGCGTATTACTCGCCCACTAGTTTATATTTACAAAAAAATCTACAGTACTTTGATTACAATTTATGGCACACAATTCATCAGACATAATTTCGTAATTTTTAATCTCGAGCAAAACTAATAATACTAAATGAGAAGAAATGAAATCTGATGCTTTACATTATGAAAAATGAAATTGGACTATTGTTAATTTAATTTGAAGAAAGATCTTTTTAAAATGCACTCGAGAAGTCCTATAAGGTACAATATACAGTATATATATCGAGCGAATAATAATTTTATGTCCGTTTGCTACACAGCCGAAGAATATAGTGCAAATAATTCTTGGTCTTTAAAGCATGCATTAGAGCAACGGTAGACGATTTATGAAGCTATGCAATAAGCAATAAGAATAAAGATGAAATTAAAGAACAATGCATCTCCTTGACTTTTCTTTTTTTCGTAGAGGTTCGACTGATGCTTTATTTGCATTTCTAAACAATAAAATTATAAATAAAAGTTTCACATATTTAGTAACACATAAACACATTAAAGAGTAAAAATAAAATTATTGAGGCGTCTAGTGATAATTGAAATATTTGTATATTTTTTTATATTAGCTTTAATTTTGATATACATCAAAATTAAAGCTAATATAAAAAACGCCTCAGTAATGTTTTTGATAGTTTCAAGATTTTATATTTAATGTTAATTAAATGTTGTTACCATGAGTAACAAAACGTGATGGTAAAATGGTAATTATAGGAAATGTTAATTAAATGTTTTACGATTCACGGTTAGCACGGATCCTTATAATGCCTACCTAGCTGTCCCAAGAACGTCACTTATACGGAAAGTTAGCGTACACATCAAGGTACCCTGTGATGCAAAATTTTGAAATCATTTAATTTTGTTCTCGGAAAATAATTTAATTTGAATGTTTAAATTAAGTCAAGTTTTGGCTTCATAGTGCGCCAATAAAAACACTTGTAGTATTTGAACCACTCAATATAATTTGATAAAAATTGGTGTAAATGTAGCCAATAGTCACGCCAAACTCTGGACAAAATTTTAGCCTGATTGGATGACTGGTGTAGGATTTATTGCAGTTTTAGTTGAAGTTTTGTTAGTTTTTTGCTACTTATACCTCAAAGGGTTACCGATTACTTTGAAATTCGGTCACTATTTTTATAAAATAATGGTTACATGAGTGCTCTACTATATAATAGCAACAATTTTTGTTATAATTCTTTTATCGGTACATAAACAGTTTTCATTTTATTGACCAAAATAGTGTATTTCTACTTAAAGCGTGATTTAAATACTCTTATGCTAATAGTGTCGACACGGCCTTTAAAGTGGAGGGGGTTGGCTCCTCAATTTCTAAAATAAAATCCATAATTTCTAAAATAAATGACTATATTTCTAAAACAAAAGGTCCTCGCAAAAAAAAAAAAGTAGAGAAGGACATGACCCCCTAGCCTCCCCAGCGTTGACGGCCATGTATGCTTCGCTTGAATATACCAACATTTCCTAAGGTACAAAATGCTGTCAAAAAAAAAAAGCTAAAAAAAAGTGCAAAACCTGGTCAAAGGACTACCAGTTTGTAAAACAAAAAAAATGAGTAGATCTCCTTAAATATTTTGTATTGACCTTCTTAAATACATTTACTTTTAAAATGAAGTTAAAACTATTTAAACCCTATTTTTTACATTGTATTACCATCAAATATCTAATTACATTTTAAGAAATGTTTTTTTGACTTTCTCCACCAATAGATTATTAATAAATAGCTCAATGTACTCTTTTAATACAAATACTCTATAATACTACTTTTAAAGATAGTGAAAATATTCATTATACGCCGTAAAATATGAATTTCAGCAGCCTAATTTCTAATAAATCAAATAATGTTCTTTAAAGAAGCTTACTGTTTAGATCAATTATGCAGCGCAACAATCTTTCTTTGTAATCTGGATGATTATTATTTCTTATACCAATGTTGATAAAAATCTTGACGAGAAGTTTTGACACTTTGTTCACTATAGGGCCCCAAGGGGGATCTTTGTGACTGATGAAATCCTTGATGTGGTAGAAGACGGCGTGAATTTTAAGTGTTACGCTTCCACCAGTTGTCATTAGGTAACACTTTTTTAAATTTTCAATTTTTTCAGCGAAATCCGGCTGAAGGATGTATCCAAAGCAAGCCTTGTCAACTAAAATGAAGCTTTTGAATGCTCCAATTAAGCACACAATATTGGCAACCATGTTTGTCTAAGCAAGTTGCTGCAGCATATCCACATTTTTAAGAAGCTTACTGCATTCATTTCCCTTAAACTGGCCCCCGTGATATAGGCTTAGTTGAATGTGGAGGGCGGCTGGCCACAACAGTTTCTGTCTTAGCAGTTTTAAGGATCTCGAAAAGATGGTTGATAACTCCTAAGAGGAGATATAATTCCATCGGTAGAATGATTTCCAAAATCAGAACATTGAAAGGCACGCAGATGATTGGCTTTCGAATGACATTGCCAAACAGCTTTGCATTAGCAACAACCCCGCCAGATTGCTGAAAAGACTCAAGGCTTGAATTAATTGAGCCCAGTGTTCGCAAGTTTCCAGATTTGGCAAGACAATTGGATTTGACGTTACACAAGGTGCAAGGGTGCGTACTTGAATGAGTTTGAAGACCATAAATTATATTTGCAACTTTCATATCACAAACCAAAATTAGTTTAACTCCATTTGCATTAACCAGTGACCAAATTTGTTCAATATTGGAGTGTCTTTCTGGCAATTCTTCTGAAACCCTAACAATAATCTGTCTCTTGACTCCAGTGTCTTTACCAGTCCTTTGAGTGAGAGGTTGTTGTTGGTGCGGTGAGCTGGTTTCATCCCTTAACGCAGTATCAACAATGTTAGGGCAAAACTTGAGAAAACCTTTGCCACCATCAATTCCGAGCTTAACAAAATAGCCACCAGAAATTTTGCGAGACTGAATAACATGATTCACAAGACTTGATAAATCATTGCAGTGAGCAACAACATGAACTGTACAAGAATCTGTTTTTTCGTCTGTGATTTTTAAGTTGCTGCAGGTGAAGAAATCGCCTAATTGTTGACCTAGTCTTAGAAAATTCATGTAGGAATTTCGCTCTACCATCTTGCTTCTTGATGTTTTTTTTTACAGTTCTAACAAGTTTCTTTAATTTGTTGTTTGACAGACCCGTATTTAATGGCACATTTACAAAGGCTACAGTGGTCAATATCGGAGCACTTGATGGTGTCTGCGCACTACTTTGACCTAAAACCAAAACCTACATATTTTATAGTTACAATAATCTTTGTTTAGAAAGTTTGTGAAAAAATTTCAAATTATTCATTTTTAAAGAAATTAGAAACTTGTCAAAAATATACTTCTTAAATCTATCTAGTGTTATTTCTAAATAGTCAAGACTTTATGTCAATATATATGTTAAAATTATTTAAGTATAAATATTTACCAGAGGTAACAGTAAGTGGAGGCCCGCTGGATGCTTTAGCCAGTAGAATAGTTCCTTCTGGAGATAATTCTTTATTGGAAATAACTCGAGATGCGATTTGTTCAGATGATTTGACATCTTTTGTTGCTAAAGACTGAATGTTTTCCCTTAACATTATTTGAGAGTATTGGTGGGGCAAACCTTTTCCTAAAGGGCTGAGGCATTTGCTGCAACACACATTTGGTTTTTTCAATAGTGGTTTGCTCTATAAGAGGATGTTTTTCTTGCAGCTTTGAACGACCAATTCGGCATATTAGGCAACAACACACCGTGCCTCTTGTTTCAGGTCTCACTTGTATTGACTTAAAATCAAACTAAGGAGGGAGTGCAACTTCTTTCCCCTCTTGTTTTCTCCGCAATGTAATTCTACACGATTCGCAGAATCCTTTTGTTACCCGTATCACTGATATTGATCTTGGTCTTGTACAGTTGGCATATTCGATCTGCTTGAAAAGTAGTAAGCTGTCTTAAACATTTTTTCAGACAGAGCAAGCACACAAACTTTTGATTTTCATCATGATCCTTTGCTTGATTTGGCATTGTGGCAATTTGCTAAATTTGACTTCAATAAATCAAATTTTGCCTTTTACAAAATTTGACCTAAATTTATATTTGATAACAATCCACTTAACATAGTAACACATATTATTAATTAAAAACTATCAAAATAAAGCAAATATTTACTTGAATTAATTAAGGTAATATTAAATTACAAGGAAATAATTCTTGAATAGTTCTTTCCTTACCAGGAAACAATTGTTTAAACTATTTACTTGTAAGGAAATTACATTATTGATAATTGTCACACTGAAACAACCCATGTGACAAGTATCATAAGTAAACTAATGATACTTGTCACATGGGTTGTTTTTTTTCAAAACAACCCTTCAACCTAATTAGTTATTCAGTTAGAGTAATTTTCCTCTGACTGGCCCTCCAAACTTTGTATTGGTCAGATATCTTAGTTAACTTATCTAAATTTTTTTAGTCAATTATCTTTGTCAATATAAAAAATATTTGGTTTTTTCACAGTTGTTCTGTTTTCAGATAAATAAATATTTTTATTTTCTATGTAGGTATCCCTAGAAATCCTTCTTAACCATTTTTTAAAAATTTGTTTGCATTCTGGCAGTAGTTTATACCTAAGGAAATGTTGGTATATTCACGCTATGCATACATGGCAATTATTTTAGAAATTATGGATTTTATTTTAGAAATTGAGGAGCCAACCCCCTCCACTTTAAAGGCCGTGTCAACGCAATCAGCATAAGTTAATTCAAATCACGCTTTAAGTAGCAAATCACTATTTTAGTCTATAAAATAAAAACTGTACATGTAACGATAAAATAATTATAAAAAAATTTGTTGGTATTACATAGTAGAACACTCATGTAACTGTTATTTTAAAAATAGTGACCGAATTTCAAAGTAATCGGTAACGCTTTGAGGTATAAGTAGCAAAAAACTGACAAAACTTCAACTAAAACTGCAATAAATCCTACACCAGTCATCCAATCAGGCTAAAATTTTGTCCAGAGTTTGGCGTGACTATTGGCTACATTTGCACCAATTTTTATCAAATTATATTGAGTGGTTCAAATACTACAAGTGTTTTAATTGGCACACTATGAAGCCAAAATTTGACTTAATTTGAACATTCAAATTAAATTATTTTCCGAGAACAAAATTAAATGATTTCAAAATTTGCACCACAGGGTACCTTGATGTGTACGCTAACTTTTTGTATAAGTGGCGTTCTTGGGACAGCTAGGTAGGCATTATAAGGATCCGTGCTAACCGTGGATTTTGATGATTGAGCTCAAGAAAAACAAAAAGTTGGTATCTGAACTGGTCTATCAATCTGTCAGTTGATAGACCAGTTCTGCGATTAGAAATATCTCCGTTTATACAAAATCTTAGAATAATAGTTTCACACATATGTATATCGTTTATTACGTGATAAACGTTCTAGGTAATAATTACATTTTTGATGTTTCATGTAATATGGCTTTTTAGATTTTCCAAATGTTATTAGATATTTCAAAGATTTCAGGTTTGTAAATTTTGCACAAAATATTTTTTTATTTAAATAATATAGTTTTTTGTTGATTGTTACTAGAGCTACTTTGAAGAAGTATTCCTAATGATATATTCCTAATGCTACTTTGAACAAGTATTCCTAATAAATTGGGAAGTTATTTAAAAGCCAATACTGGATGAATATTAGAAATAATAATCTTAACTTTTTATTAAAAGTTTAAATAAAAGAAAAATAGAAGCGAAGATACTTTAAGCAAAAGAAAGGTTCCTAAACAAGAAATGATATAAAAGTTTTATTTTAAATATATCAATGATGGTTCTATAATCTGGCCAAAAAATTTTGGCATCAGAAAATTTAAAAATTCTGAATTAAACTGAATTAAAGGACTTAAATGGTTCTACAAAGGATTTTGGTACAGAATTTACAAAAATCGATAACGCCGACAGTGTAAATAATCTTTTAGTCAGCAGTTATTCTTTAAAGCTACAAAAAAATTAAAACAGATATATAATATAAAAAAAACATTTTACTATAACATTCATTGATCATTACATATTCATTAAAACTTAAAAAAGAATATTCTTTATAATTTAAATTAAAAAATAATTGTTTTTGCATCTGATTACAATATTGAAAAAGTACTCTTAACAGAATTAACATTTAAATGCCCTCTATTTTCAAAATAAGACCTGTCCTTATTCTCAAGACTTTTTATTGGTTCTCACAAGCAACTGCATTAAACTTTTCTAAAATGTTTGTGGCCACTTTAACTTAACTTTGCAAACTGACCTTAGATGCCAAGAAAAAATATTTTTTCTTCATGTTGGGTCTCAAAAATATTGAAAAATGATGAATATATTTTGAAGTTTTAGATAGCTTTGCTTCTTTTGAGACCTAACATAAAATAATTTAAGAAACTTTATTTTTTCCAGCATTTAGGGTCAGGTTGCAAAGTTTAGATTTGAAGCAGCCCCCCTTAACTCAGTAACATTTTATAAAAATTTAACATATACTCTCAAGTGCCGAATACAGCGGGGGTGGGAATTTTAGTCAAAATCTAATAAACAAGGGAGGAGGGGGGGGGGGTTTGGTGAAGATTTTTTTGAAATTTAATAAACGGAGAGGGGGGGGGGCATGTAGACAAATAGCTGTAGACAATTGTGTCATTAAATATTACATTTGTAGACTACTTGTGTTTTTTAACAAATTTATTCTGATAGACAACTGGTTCACTAAAATTATAAATTTTTTAAATGTGGTTACCTGATGGCTCGAACTAAATCATGAAATGCTGCATCAACATTAATTCTTTGCTTTGCGCTAGATTCTAAGTAAGATACCTAAATAAGCAGAACAACAATTATAAAACAGATATATATTACAATAATTTACATGCCTTCATGATTTAGTTTAAATGCGCTTGCATAGTTGGTTTCCATAGTTCCATTTTTATAGCTGCTGTTGAAAGTTATATTTTTATGTATTAGACAATTAAAGTTAGCTTTTTTATTACACAAAAATTTAATTAATTTAATAATTTTTACTTTTAGCTTTCTTCCTAACTCTTGTGCTTCAGCAGTTGAAACAGTTCTTTCATTTTCTAAATCTGATTTATTTCCCACTAAAATCATGGGAAATTCTTCTCTAAAAGAAAAGCAACAAAAAGAATTATCTTACAAAAGAAAAACAAAAATTTAAAATAATAAATTGATAGAATCACTAACATGTGAATAATTTATAAAACCATTGACATAATAAATTTGTAGCAAAAGCAAAAATTTATTTAAAGATTAACTTACATATCTTTAACTCTTAAAATTTGAGTGTGAAATCTTGGAATTTCATCAAAGCTAAATATAATAACGTATAACAATAATACAACACACAATTTTCAATAAGAAATCTTATATGTATTGAAATGTGTCAGACCTTTTTCTTTAGCTAGATATAAAAAAAAGGTTTTGGTGGAACTAGACCTTCATAGAAAAAAAAAAGAATTTTCAGCAAGTAACAATAAGTTTTTAAAAAAACTTTACTGATTACACCAAGTTTCATTAAACTTAACTTTCTATCCCTATATATGTATAATGTCATAACCAGTGATTTTTTAGGCTTAATACTTCACAAAAAGGTTTAACTCTTTTAATTTCAGCTGACCGTGTTATCATGAGGTTTTAGTAGCACAATAAATGTTCTAACCTTAAATAGCTGTTTTCTAAAAGCTTAAATAGTTGCTTTCTAAAACTTAAATGTTTTCTAAAAGTTTTGAGTTGGTTTGTGTTTCTTATTTTGATCAGGATTGCATGAACAACTTGTTTGCTATTATTCAAAGAAAAAGAGGAATGTTCATCTTACTATTTCATCATCACTTAACATTTCATCATTCAACGAGCTGCCTACTGAAACACTTTATCTGTAAAGTGAAAAGCCACATAGCAACTGTATAAAAAACTTTAAATTTGACCACAAGTTTTGATTAAAATGATCTTAAAAATAAGTTGCAATTTTACAACAATTGGCTGTGAAATTTGTGAAGTAAAAAAATTAGCTGTCAATAATCTTCATTAATAATATCTTGAAAGAAAGGGACTGGCCATTACTCTTATCAATAGACCTAATTAATATAATATATTTCTTTCAAATAAAATAACTATGAGGAAATTTAATTATTTTAATACATTTCCTCATAATTAAATGTATATTAAAATTTTTATATTTTTTACAAAAAAAACATGAAAGATTTAACCCCTCCCCCCCCCCAAATTATTTAATTCATTGAAATAAAATAACTTAATGTAAGTTTATACAAATTGAAATATCTAGTAACAAAATTAATCTATAAAAAAGAAACTTGTTAGTTGTGGAAAAGGTCTGATAGACATCTCAGAATTGTTTAATTAACAAAATTTTTGCAAAGCAGAACTTTCGATGTCTAAAAATTAAATTACACATTTTAAAATAGTATTACTTATGCTGTCATTCAAGCTAAACCCTAATCATTACACTTTTTTTCTATATTCACCCAAGGCCAATGGGATGTGATTGCTGAGGAGCTAACCTTTTTACTTTTCTTTTTTCTATTTCTAATTGTTGTTTAACAGCTGTTACAAACTTTTACTGACCACCGTGCAGAGACCACTGTGCAGAGAAACAGGTTTATAACTTTTCTATCAATAATCATATAATTAATTTAATTATTTGTTGAAAACTTTGCAAATTGTAGCATCTGTACTCTTTTAAATTCATTATATAATATGAGCTAATTACCTGGATCTATCTGTAACTGAAAACACCAGAAGAAAACCCTCCCCAGTTCTCATGTATTGCTCTCGCATAGCACTAAACTCCTAAAAGTTAAAAAAATAAAAAATTTAAACACACAATTACACAACAATGGTATGTTTTCATTATTAAAAAAATGACTAAACCCTAATGACAATACTTAGACATGAAATATTGAACAAATAAAATCTTACATGATAAATTTCAAAAAAATTTTTAAAAAAAGAGTTACTTACAAAGACAAATAGATTATCAAGTATCTCTATACTTAAGACAAATAGATTATCATGGACATTTTTGTGTAAAATTAAATAAGTAAATAACTTTTTTGTACCTATAAGTATACTTTTTTTGTAAAAAATGATTTCTATAGCAACTTTTAGGAAAAGTAAAAAGTACATACATTAACTATCTTATAGCCAGCTAAATAAACTGTTGGTTTGGTTAGGGTCAGAGTCAACATCAAGGTTAGGTTTAAATATGGTTAAGTTATTGAAATTTATCATTTTTGTAAACACATAAAAAAAATATTTTTATAACAAATTATTAAATTTTAATATACATAAATATAGATATAAAATAAAAGTATAAAAAAAAAGAAGCTATATTTTAAAAATAATAAATAAAAGTTATTTAAAGGAATAAATAAAACATCCCCATGAACATCAACTAGGAAAGTATATATATATATATATATATATATATATATATATATATATATATATATATATATATATATATATATATACACACACCCATATATGCGATAGCGGTGTAGTGGTAGAGAGTTTACCTTATAAGCTAGAAGTCTGGTCAGGTTTATCATGCTACTGGTAACATATAAACCAGTGCAATCTGCTTCATGTCCTGCTGTCTTGCAGGATACGCCTTTACAGGCAAAGGCTAGGAAATGCAAACTCCAACATAAAATACCCCCTGCCTTAGAGCTCTTGGTTGAGTTAAGGCTAGAGATAATGTCTTGATAAAAATACTCATCTTGGGCATATGTTAAATGCATCCGACTGCTGTCTTATAGAAGGCCTCCTAGGCAAAGTCTTAAGGGGTAAACAGATTCTATCTGTTGACCAGCCTCGCATAAGCATCCCTTCTTTATCTGTTAAGGCTGGCGCAGATGTATTTTTAATACAGTTTCCAGTGAAGGGTGTTGAATGCTGGATCTTCTTGACTCAATGCTTTATTTTTATGACTAGGCAACTCATTCTATTATCTCCTAATAAGGGTACAGCTCTAAAACTCAGTTTTATGATTCTGAAGCTGGTTGGAAGTCAGGTTTCCTGAACTCTGTGGTAGCTCTCAGAGAGGCTAATTCCATCAACAGCTGAAAAATATCAAAGTACTAACAGTGCCATGCTGAAAAAATATCAAGTACAACAGCTGAAAAATATCAAAGTACTAACAGTGCCATGTTGCGCATTGATGGTGCATCGCCAAGGTCATATTAAAGCCCTTTGTTATGGTTTAGGGTTTATAATTATAATCAGGCAATAGCTGGGGCTATTAAACAGTGTACTGAGTACTATCTATGTTTCGAGCCAAGTTCTTTAACAAATTTAAAAATGAATAAAGTAACAAAAACTATACAACATAAAAAACCACAGTCATCACCAAGTTCGCTAAACCTATCATTCACCAATATTCGTGGTCTTCGAAGTAACTTTTCTTCTGTTGAGTCTTGCAAAGTTCACCAGACCTATTTGCTCTTTGTGAGACTAATTTGAGTTCAGCTGTCTCATTTTGTGATCATAGTGTTGATGGTTAGCTTCCTTTAATTCGTAAAGACTCCAATAGTCACTTGCTAGGCCTGAGCATTTACATTCGTAAAAATTCACCCATTTGTCAAAAAACTAGATTTTAATCCACAGACTACTCTTTTATGCGCTTTTGTTAAGCACCACTTCACTCTATCACCTTTCTCTTTGTTCTATATCGCTCTCCTTCATCTCAAGACTGCACTCTTCTTGATGTTATTTCTGATATTGACCAAGCCCTCTCTCTTTCTTCCTTTATTTCTCTTTTTACAATATTGGCTGATGCAATATTGTTGTTGTCATTGACTTTAATGTTCATCATACTAAATGAATTGGCTCTAGTGTCAGTGACTCTGCAGGCATTAAAGCCCACAATTTTTGCCTTTCTCAATCCCTAACTCATATAGTCAACTTTCGAACTCGCTTTCTAGACAACCCGAATCATTTACCTTCTCTACTCACCTTATCATAGATCATCCAGCTCATATTTTAAAAAACCAGAAAATCAGTAGGGTAAAATAGCCAGAAATATCCAGAATATATTTTCGCTAATGTTCCCCTTAATTTTGATTTTAGCTGAGCTGTATTAAATTTTTTTTAACTTTTCTTAGTTTTTGTATGAGTAATGAGTGAAAAAGCTTAAAAAGCAAATATATTACAAAAATATATTCCTAAACTTGAATGTATAGCAATCAATTTTGATATCCGGAAAAACTAAAAGTTGAGAAAAATATCCGGAATTCCAAAAATATCCAGAAAAAGATAATCCCTGCCTTATGTCTTGTTTTTGATACTAGTCAGTGCTCAGTTATTCCACATTTACCCTTAGGTGCTTCTGATCACAGTTTGATCTTTCTAAAACTATTATCTCATTCTTCTTTATCATTAAAATCCACCTATCATCATACATCTTAAAACTACCTTAAAGCTGACTGGGACTCTTTCCGTGATTTTGTTTGTGATGGCCCTTGGATAGAAATCTTTCATTTTCCTGGTGACAAATGTGCCTCTCACATAACTTCTTGGATTCAGGCTGGCATGAAATTCTTTATTCCCTCTCGACAATTCCAGGTCAAGCCTCACTCTTCTCCATGGTTTTCCTCGCATTGCCCTGCAGCAATTGCTAATCGAAACCGTTACCTCCATATCTATCAGTAAAACAATTCTCGAGAAAACAGATGTCTGTTTATTACTACTAGGAACCATTGTAAAAAGGTTTTGTCTAAAGCCAAAACCGGCTATTCTCAGGTCATGAAATCTCATGACTTCTGGAAAATCTTTAATAGTATCAATAATAAGGGCAAGTCTGTAATTCCACCTCTGTTGCACAGTTCAGATTTTGTCACCTCACCTGAAGACAAAGTTGAATTGTTTGCTAAGAACATTTTATCAATATCATCTTTTGAGTCCACTAGTTGCATTCTACATGATATAGCCGTCAAACAGGTTGATCCATTGCTTGACATTCGTATCACTCCAGCTTCTGTATTTAAGGTGATTTCCTGCTTTTACTCTTTTAAAGCTTATAACCCGGACAACATACCTGTTATAGTCTTGCAGAAGCTGTCGTCTAACCTTTCAAAACTATTCAACAAGTGTTTATAAGGGTCTTTTTTTCCAGCCTGCTGGAAAACAGCATCTGTTATCCCTATTTTCAAAAATTCTGGAGAGCAATCTGATCTGTCTAACTACTGTCCCATTAGTGTTCTTCCTATCATAAGCAAGGTTTTTGAATCTTTAATTAACAAACACCATCTTCTCATTCTACGGCTGACTTGCTATAAGTAATAACCGATAGGTTTTATCGTGCATTAGATAAAGGCGGAGAGGCCATTGTTCTTGACATTTTTAAAGCGTTTGATAAAGTTTGGCATGCTGGTCTTCTCCATAAGCTCTCTTCTTACGATGTATCTGGTAACATCTTTAAGATTATTGAATCCTTTCTTTCCAATTGTAATATAAAAGGTGTCCTCGATGGAAAGCATTCTTCATATCCTGTAACCTCAGGGGTTTCTCAAGGTTCAATCCTTGGCCCTATACTCTTTTTAATTGAAATTAACGATCTTCCAGATATTCTCGCATCTAAGGTGGCGTTGCTCACTGATGATACTACCATTTATTCTTGTCATGATAAGAAGCCAACTCTCTCTGATTGCTTAGAGGGGGCATTTGAGCTTGAAAAGGATCTTACTTCTGCTTACAGCATAGGGTTCACAGTGGCTGGTGAACTTTAATTTAGATAAAACTCAATTTTTTTTAAGCCAATCATTATCGCAATAATTTAGAACTTCCTATATTTATGAACGATAATGTACTTGATGAGTCATCTACCCTTCATCTTCTAGGATTAACTCTTACTTCTGATTTTTCTTGGTAATCATAGATCAAGTTCCTTGCAAAACTAGCATCTGCTAAAGTTGCACCTCTTTATCAAGCTTGACACTTTCTTACTCTGGATTCTATTCTATCTCTATAAATCTCAAATTAAACCTTGTATAGAATACTGTTGCCATATCTGGGGCGGAACTTTTAATGATGCCCTTTCTTTTTTAGACAAGGTGCAAAAACGCATTGAAAACATGGTTGGACCTGCACTTGCAGGCAACCTTTAACCATTATCACATCGTCATAATGTTGCTTCTTTTTCTCTTTTCTACAAATACTATAATGGGCACTGCTCTAAAGAGCTAGCATTTCTTGTGCCATTTACTAAAAATCATTCTTGTGTTACTCGTCATTCAATTAAGTCTCATCCTTTTTCTGTTACTGTTCCTAAGTGCTCCAAAAATTCTTATTCGTCTAGTTTTTTTTCTCGGACATCAGTTCTCTGGAATTTGCTTCCTTCATCTTGCTTTCCTGATTCATATAACTTGAAATCTTTCAAGTCGTCTGTCAATTGTTATCTTGCTCTACAATCATTATCTTTTCTCTTCTAGTAACTTCCAACACTAATTAGTGGTTACTTACAGCTTTGTTGGAAGCGAAGACGTTAAAAAAAAAAAAAAAGTTCTGAGTTTGCTCTCCACCACGCCCCTGGTAGTACTGATCTTAACTTGTTTCTCCATGCAGCTCTCTTGTTTGTCATGTTTCAGAGTTATAGAGTGGAGCGTTGTAACCACAATTATAGTAGCCTCCTTAACTGTAGTGGCCTTCTTAGCTTTAAGGAGGTGAATTAATTTACATTAAACTACATGATATAACTATATTTATTTAAATATCTTAATTCATACTGAAAATTATAAACAAAAATAATGTCATGCCTGTGTGCCAAACCAAACCCTCAGTCGATGTAGCAGCACTCCCTTGCGAGTCAGGCTATTTGTCAGTCAATGTAGCAGCACTTCATTGCAAGTCAGTCTATAAGATAGCTGATGTAGCAACACACCCTTGTAGCAGCAGGCTATAAGATAGTCGACGTAGCAACGCTCCGCGCATGTTTTAAAAATATTTTTTAATAAAATAACAACAAAAACACCATTAAAAAAAACTTTCTAGTCTTTTTTATTTTAAAAAACAATAAAATTTAATGTACTTCAGCATTAATTTAATTGCTTTGACATTTTGACGACATTAAAATACAACTTAAGAGTCAAGGTAATAAAAACTGTAGCCAAAATTACTAAAACTCTCTTAAGACATTATCCAAAAAACAAGTAATCAAAATAATATAAATTTCTCCTTTTTTTAAAAACATCATTAATATTACCTCAGCAATTAATATACCAAAAAAAAAGATGTTGCAAAAAAAAAAAGTTAAAGTAGTCAAGCATACAGTACTGCTTTATCTTATCAGTTACATAGGCATACATTACATTGATATTAATTTTGTATTTTATCTAATCTTTTGCCAAAACTAGGTTATAAAATGTAAAAAAAGGCAACAACAAAAAAAATTTTTTTAAAAAATGCTTATTAAAAGATTAACATTTCTGTTAACTTGTTAAAAATTATTGTTTCCACTATAAACTCATATTTAAAAAAAAAACTTTTACAAAACATACCTCTTGCCCAGCTGTATCCAAAACTAAAAACAAGTAAAATACAAATAAAAAATTTCATCATTCTATTTCCAAAAGTATCAAGTAAAAATTTAGAGGAGCCTATTTTGGTAAAATTGTCAAATAAAGCCACAAAAGATGTAAAAAATGAGAAAAAAAACTTTTTACTTTGCAATTACGTCTTTAAAAAAAAAATAAACTTGAAAACTATTTTTCTTACTAAAAACAACTTTTTTTATAAATGACTGCTGGCACCCTCTGAATATGTTGTATATAATAAAAAAAATTCTGGATTTAAAAAATTTTTGAATAAAAATTATTTTATGGGGTTGCTACCGACCTTCAAACATTAAATAGGTCCCTAATCAGCGACATATCCAGGCTGATTTTGATACCGGTATACCGGTATGGGCCCCCAAATTTCAGCCCAAACTCAATTTAAAACAGTTTTATATTAGTATTTGTTGCGATCACAGAAGTACCAACTTTTGAAAAGCGACTTTTAAAACCAACCAAAATGCCTAATTCAAATTCATGTTGATGAAATAAAGAATATGTTGTAATTGGATTAAATGTAAAACGCACGTTTTGATTGGATTAAAATATGAAACGCTTAGGATTTTCAAATAACATTTTAAAAATACATTAATTTGAGTTTCTCCTCCGCTGACGTTTCATTAACGTAATTTTCGAAGCGATTAAACTGAATTTAAACTTTTTCATTTCAAATAACAGTAAAAATTGTATTAAAAATACTTTAAATAATAAAACGAATGAAAGTTTTTAAAACATAAAATTAGAATAACATTTATTTAAATAATTAAATTAATATTTTAATATTCGCGCCAAAAAACTTGATTTGAATAGTAAGAGTAGAACTGAAAAAAAAAGGTATTAATTTTTGAATGAAGTAATTAAAATTTTGAATGAATTTACCTTGTTTTAAATACGCTATGTAATAAATCTTATCAAGTTTATACCAAAGAGTCATACAAATATTGTTTACTAAACGTTATATAAATATTATAAATATTTCTAGTTAACAATAATTAATATTTTGAATTTAATAATTTAATAAATACTATTAATTATAATTTATAATTAGTAAGTGAATGGAGCAAGTAAATGAAAAGTAGCGAATAGCTACTTTTCATTTACTTGCTCCATTCAATCGTTTTTAGTTAAAAAATGTAATTTTCTGTTCACTAAAATCTAAAATAAAAAATTAATTATAAAATGATTAATATTTTTGAAATTTTTATATAATTTCGCTTCGTTTGAGACCCAACATAACATACTTTTAAAAAACTTTTTTTTTTATAATATTAGGGACTTATTTAATGTTTGAAGGTCGGTAGCAGCCCCATAAAATAATTTTTATTCAAAAATTTTTTAAATCCAGAATTTTTTTTATTATATACAACATATTCAGAGGGTGCCAGCAGTCATTTATAAAAAAAGTTGTTTTAAGAACCAGCCTAATATATATATATATATATATATATATATATATATATATATATATATATATATATATATATATATATATATATATATATATATATATATATATATATATATATATATATATATATATACATATATATATATATATATATATACATATATATATATATATATATATATATATATATATATATATATATATATATATATATATATATAAAGTAATCAGTAAATATTTTTGAAATGTAAAGTAATTACAAAATATTTTACAACAACATTAAAAGACTAAAACATAGGTAAGTTTTTATTAGCAGTTAAAAAAGTAATACTGCAAAATAACAAAAGCTTGTTTCAAAAAAGTACTAAACCTATATTTCTAACTAACATAATTACTTAGTTAAAGTGTTAAGCAGAGTTCGCAATTATCCATAAAAAGGAGAAATTAGGGAATATTTGTGGTAAGCTGCATGTTTCATTAAGGATTTATTTTGCAACTATAAAAAAAATTAACTACATCAACACAAATGTTAATATTAGTAATATATATATATATATATATATATATATATATATATATATATATATATATATATATATATATATATATATATATATATATATATATATATATATATATATATATATATATTACTAATATTATTTTGGGCAACTGAATATCTATATTACAGAGCAGTTTAAAATTGAAACTTTTATTCAGTACAGCTAGAAAAAAAGCATAAAATTTTATTGGAAATATTATTGGTAAAATGGATAACAATTATTTTTAAAAATTACATAAATTGCAAAATTTTAGAATGCTCTTTAATCCCATGTTAATTGTATCTTAATTATTGTTAAACTTTTGAAATCCTACAATTACCATTAGAATTATAATTACCATTAGATTGCTAACAACTAAGATACAACAAGTTTAGATTTCGAATCAAGCAGGCCAAAGAATTGAATAAATAAAAAATGATAATGACTTATTTCTGAAGGCATCAAATTTATACTTATTACCAAACCCATAGATAAAAATAGACCACTATTAAACTTTACTTGTAAAACTATTAACTCACTATCTAAATGTGCAACTTTATCATCAATTACACACTGTTTCCTGTAAGAATCTTCAATCGTTGGATCATAGTCTTGAACAAAATGCGATTGAATGAACTGTATGGTTAGTGCACTTTTTCCAACACCACCTCCTCCTACAACAACAAGTTTATACTGCCGATCTAAATCACCAGACATTACTTATGTTTCTTGTTAAAAGTATTTTCAAGCAGTACTTTCCTTCTCGGAATATGAGAATACGCACTTGTATAACGCGTTTAGTTTACAATACGAAACATTCAATCTCCTTAACAGAAGACCTTTTTTTTTGTGCCGCACCCAGCGAGATGTGCAAGCTTAACAATTTGCTCTACGATTTTACGACACGATATTGAAAGACTGAGAATAGAAAACATTACAGAGAACTTTTCGTTTACAAACCTCTTTTGTTTTTTAATGCAAAAACGATAAAATTTTAATAACGGCCTGAGAATGAAGCTGTACGCAACTTCATGTGCTGTGGTCATTTTTTTTGCTAATTTGGTGTTATATTTGGTGTTTTCTGCTAATTTGGTGTTATATTTGGTTATATTACATAGGGTATTATACTTAACGATAATTTTTTTTCTAAGCCGTTGGCGAGTTTGGCTAATGTCTACGGAATGCGAGTTAAGCTAATGCCTATGGAAAACACAATATCTTTGAATGACGGAAAAAAATCTGGCACTTTAGCTGGCGCAAGACTAACCCCAATTTTAAAGTGTTATATGTGTATTATTATTATTATTATTGTTATTATTATTATTACATATATATATATATATATATATATATATATATATATATATATATATATATATATATATATATATATATATATATATATATATATATATATATATATATATATATATATATATATATATATATATATATATATATATATATATATATATATATATATATATATATATATATATATATATATATATATATATAATTTATTAAGGCCGGTTTAGATCATAAGTCTCGCGTCATTAAAGATACATAATTGTGGATAGCTTTGTGTTAACTAACAAATAATCGAGCTATTGAAAAAGCTAGATTTACGAATGACAAATAAAACGAACTATTTTCTCACAGTTATTTTTATCTAAGCACAGTTTTTTTTTTTTTTTTTTTGCCAAAACTTAACTTTCAGTAATTTAGGACATTTTTCAATTCAAAACTATCACTCATTTAGATTAAAAAATTTATTAGATAAAAAATCAGAATCTTTATCTAAAGTATCGGTTTAGGCATAAATATTATCTAAAATTATAAAATCAAATGGCAAAGCTAAAAACGTTTTCTAAAGAATTCTTTTCACAAATTAGTGTAACTTAGTGTAACTTCTGTTTAAAAGATAAATGCGGAAATTAAAAATTAATTACAATAATTCCTTACTTCAAGTGATTTTTTATTTTTTATAACTTTAATTTTCGGAAATTTTAGATTCATAGAATCTTAAACATAAATTACATACATTTTTCATTATAGAAGTGAACAACAAAAATGTTTGGCTTCTTTACCTGTTTGCAGAACAAAATATTTCAACTATTTATGTATAATTAATTAATTTTAATTCAAATGTATAATGAATGCATGCGCACTCTTCTAGTCTATGAAATCAAACAACTATTTAGGAGTAACCATTACATATGACGCAATTGGAATAATTATAGCATGAAAACATTTTAAAACTAAGAAAATATCAGAAAATCAGAAAATTAAATCATGAATTGACTGAGAACATTCATTCAAATAAATTGTTTTATTTTTAGTAATTTATCATATAAATTACTAAAAATAAAACAATTTATTGAGACCAACTCATTATGACGGCACTTGGATAATCGAGTATGGATAATACTAATAGAATCCTTTTAAATAATGATTTATATGCAGAACACCTATCAAAAATTCTGGTTAAATGAATTGGTCAAATGTTTTTTATTTAATAAGTATTAAATTTTATTAAATCTAAATGGAAATTTCAGATTTTTTCATGAGCATCGTTTTCTCCTCCACAAAATAATATCTCTGCTAATATTTAAACTCAGTATTCACAAACAATAGTTTTTTTCAATATTGTGTTTTTTTATACATATTTATAGCCAGTTGCAAAGTGAGTCGGCATAGTAAATTCAAGTCGGCGTCAGAGTAATAGTGACTAGAATATTAAACCAAAGACAGTAACGTTGCGAGACGGGGGTAGAGGCGCCAAAAAAAAGGAGCAAAAAAAAAAAAAAAAAAGAAAAGTTTTTTATTAAAAGTATTTTTATTCGAAATAATGATTTTTCGCTATAGATAACGCTTTATCAATATTTTGATAAAAACGTTATATAAATATTTTCTCATTAAGTTTGAACTGGTTAAATTAGTATTTTGTATTTGAGTTTCAGGTTGTTTTCAAAGTAGTATTTAGCAAGCAATACAGTTTTTATAACGAGATAGGGGTTGCCGGTTATGACTGGTACAAAGGTTTTATGGAAAGACAAATATTTTGCATGAACTATACTTGTTCAAATACAATTTTAAAGTCTTTCAAGCATAATTAACTCTCTCTCAAATATAATTAACCAAAGGAAAAAATTTTTTTTTCACTTCACATGAATGGAATCAGCTAGTCACATAAGTTACTTGCTATTCTACAAGTGGGAGGTACATGCCTCCCATAATAAACGAAGGAAACTAGAATTAATAGATGGAGCCCAGGTGACTGGATAGAATGCTACTCAAGCGTATAAATACAAAAAAAAAAATTTATTGTTAGGTTAAAGAAATGAAAAAGTTTCAAGTTTTACCTATTTTTGACGGACATAAATCTCATAATAATATAAAAATGGTGACGTTTTTCGTTGTCTGCTTCCTCATCGCACACATCAAATCCAGCTATTAGATTTGGTTCTTAAGAAATCAATCAGCACTCAATAACCACAAAATCAGGAAACGGTTAAGAACTTATCCTGGCTGAGTGGTCACATAATTTTAAATAGTTACCATTTTTAGCTAAAAAAGAAAAAATGCCCAAAAAAACTTTTGAAAAGCTGGCATATTGCCGGTTAATAATAAATAGTTTTTTTAAAGCTGACTTTTTGGTAGCTGAAGGTATTGGTATTAATTTCATCGATAAAAAAACTTGTTTTTTGTATTTATGAGCCGTTTGGGTTTTATAAACCAATTATCTGATTGTACTAACAAACTGATAATTAATATTGGCTAACACCTCTTACAGCCTTTAATTACATCTACTAACAATTAAATTGTTAGTAGATGCATTTAAGGATATAATAATTAAAATTCCAAATCATTTCAATAATTATCTCCAAGGTTTATTATTCCAATATTAAAAAAGCAATATAAAGCTTTCAAGAAAAAAGAAGGACTGCAATCTGTATGGGAAGTTGGAGCACAGAGTTTTGTTACGTTATTCACTGTGCCCCAGTACAGTCAATGAACACAGCTATGAACTAATGATAGTGAATAAATGCATACCAAATAACTATGAGCCTGGGGGGAGGGGGTAAAAACACTGTACACTATACTTTTGATATTTTATTAATTAGATTACTATATAATCGAAAGAAAAAAAAGACATTTTAAAAATTGAGAAGAAAAAAAGAATTTAATTGATAACAAAATTTATAAAATATTCAAAAATTAAAAAATTATTCAAAAATTATTATTTATAACTTAAAATAAATTCATTTTCATGTATTTTTTTGTTAAAAATGCATGAATTAAATATTTAAGATCGTTAATGAGGCATAGTGAACCAACCTATTCACTCTAACCCGATTCACTCTGCCCCACCATGACAAATTAATTTTAAGTCTAATTTCTTCGGACATGAGTGTTGTAAAAAGAAAAGCTAAACTATTAAAAAGAAGCATAAATATCAATAATCCAAATGACTTTCAAAATTTTTTTAACCATGATCTCCATAACAAACATAAAGAAGGTAAGAAAATTTACTTTAGTTTGCTAAAAACAAAAATTTTCTACCAAAAACTGGTAGTCAAAAATTATGTGGTAACAACTATAAGTAAAGATGGCTGATATATAAAATGATTACATTATCAAGATGAACAAAGTTCTAATTTTTGAGAAAATACTTCTTATTTACTGTGCCCCTCAATCCACTGTACCCCAACTTCCTCTACATTCTCTCCGTATACAGAATTGCAGTTAGATGCCCAGATTGAAAATAAACTGAAGGCACTAATAAAAAATAAAAAAAATAAAAAATGCTAAGTACACTGACATAACACTTTTCTATCTATAAAAAAAAATGCTTAAAAAGTCAGAGAAAAACAGTTCTTACCATTACTGCCAAGAAAATTAGTCTAGTTTTTTCTAGTTAACTAGTTTTAAAAGTATTTTTAAGAAATCTAACTTTTAAAACTAGTTTTAAAAGTTGAGTTTCCTGTAGTGATTAACGCAGTTGAACATGCGAAATTAGAAGAAAAAATGTAAGACTAAGTTTTATCTGTGAACTAAGCCTAAACAGTATATAAAGTATAAATCTGTTTTTATTGTTCCACTGTATACCTCTACTTTAAAATGTTTTTTTTTTTTTTTTTTTTTTTTTTTTGAAATTCTTATTGAAATTGAAACTTTTATGTAAACTATTATGTGCAAAGAGCATCTTCTCAAAATATACTGCTTGTTTTCTTTGTGCCAATAAAGTTAACGACTTTTTTTTGCCAGGGATATTATAACCTAATGAAACATCCATAAAACTTAACTTAATTTGTTTAAAAAACTTAAAATTGTTTTTTATTTTTTTTTTGTATTTATACTAATATTTTTTAAATATTTCCAATATTTTATAGATAGGTAAGAATGTTTTTAGCAGCAACAGTTCTTTATATACTTTAAAGTATATAGCTTTATATACTTAAAAGTATAAAGCAATGTTCGCAAGCAAACCGAAAGAAAAATGTTTCATTTTTTAAAGGTGAGTTTCCACTCATCCATTTTTCTACGGGAAAGGGAACGGAAAAATAACCACGTGAGCATGCGTAATAAAAGTTTTTATTTGTCCGTAAGGAAACTGCGCATGGTCACGTGATTATTTTTTCGTTCCCTTTCCCTTTCCCGTAGAAAAACGGATGAGTGGAAAATCACCTTAACGTCATATTTTCAACCTATTTACATATATAATTTTTGTCTCATTTTAATAAACTTTTACCTTCTCTCAAGCGTAAAATAAATTAAAATAAATTGTTTTTAAACACTTAAAATACTGACGTTTTTAGATACACCTAATTTATTTTTTTTTTAATTATTCTATTTCAAGCGTAAATATTTACTGCTACGTAAAAGTGTTGCGTATTTTATGACTGGAACTACATTGAAAACTAAAAACTCTAGATCCGCACTGAAAATTGGTTGTAGCTTTTTTATATGTATATACAGTGGCGGATTAAGACTTCTTTTGGTCCGGGGCTATTTTTGTTTTTGGAGATCTTTTTATGGGCCAGAGCCTAAAAATGACTAAAAAGAAAAAAAAAAAATTCCTCTAAAATTTTTGGGGGCCCCTAAATTTGCGGGTCCGGGGCTATAGCACCCTCTAGCCCCCTCTTGATCCGGCACTGTTTATATACTTTTTAATGCTAAAAGATCTTCCTTCATTATGATTATTGTGATGTCTTCTAAATATTATATAATAAAATTTTGTGAGCTTTATTCATAGAATGATATCGATACCATTCTATAAATAAAACTCACATTATTTTATTATCTAATATTTAGAAGACATGAATGCGCTGAAACAGCAATCCATGACATAAGTAAAATTATATACATGAAATTGTAGATATCTATAATTTCATACATATAACTTTAATTATGTCATGGATTGGTTTTTATATGATATTATTTAGCAAAAAAAAAAAAAAAATAGAAACAAGTCCTCAATTTTCGTTTCCAGTGATCAATCAAAATGTACGCAATTTTCGTTTCCACTGATCAATCAAAATGTACGCAACTTTCCAAAAACTAAGATTACGCAATATGATTAATAAGGGTTTTAACAAAACATTTATTTTTTCACGCCAATCAATCTCATCAAAAATGAGATTGATGTTGATTATAAAGTAAACATTTTTTTTGAATATATCCTCAAAATGTTTTTGTTATTTTTCTTTAATTAATTCTGTAATTACTTTTAAAACTTCACTACCTTCACGAATTCCAATTTTATTGAGACGTTTTAATGCAAAGTACTCTTTAAAGTATTACAATGTATTCATCACAAATCAAGTAACTGCATTTTGAAATAAAATCATTTTTTGTATATAAAAGTTTTTTTCTGAAAAAGTAGTTACTTGCTTTTTAAATGGTTTCTTTTTCTGTATTATTGATCATATCCATACTTAACATTCTTTCATAAATTTCATTTTTATGTGATCATTATCTAGTTCTATTAAAATTGTGTATCATTATCTAATCCCATTAAAATTGATATGGGTTCATTATAGTTAGGGGTTATGTGTAAGAAAATGTATTATTGTATTTATTATTACTAAATTGTGTTCTATATTTTTGATATTTCTTTTTCTTTCTACTTATTATTATTTTCTTTTTTTTTTAAACTTTCTTTTTTACAAAAACTGCGCAAAATAGGTTTTACAATGACTGGTAACTTCTGTTTTTAGTAAACAAGATTGCAGGTTGTAAAGACCATAAGCCTTTCACTTTCAAAACATTCTACAGCACAATTATAAATAAAATTATTAATAAATGTTAAACATGACAATTATAAAAAATAAGTTTATTCCAATTTTGGTATAATTATTTTTAATTTCAAGCAACCGCGGTACTAGGGTTCAAACTTTCATAAGACATAAAAAGTGTCACTGGTTTAAAAATTAACCTCTATTAAAGTTTTCCTTAAAGTTTCTTAACAATAGTACAAAAAAGCACATAAATTAAAAGTTCTTAAAAAAAATATTTCGTCAAAAATTCTGTTTGAAAGTGTTTAGAATAACTTTTCGTGTCACTTTACATAGTGGATTTACAATGTAAACGGAGTTTCGGCTCTTATTTCAAAGACAAGTTTTAATGTTTTACACTTGGTAAACAAAAGTCGTTGCTTGATTTTTAACTTAATAACTTTACCTTATTAAATCTTAGTAAACAAAAGTTTTTCGTTGCTAGATTTTTAACTTTATAACTTTACCTTCTGAATAGTTAGTATGTTTTTATAGGAACGTTTTTTAAAAAAAAAATTTAATTTTAAAGTTTTAAACTAAAAAGTTAATTAGTAGTTAGTCAATTCTGCACAGTCATTTTTAAGTTAGCAAACTAATTATCCTAAAGCTTAGATTTATTGATTAATATTCAAGACTTGGTTATCAGGGTAGAATATGTGTTAAAATAAAAATAAAAATGAAGTCTTACTTTTTGGTGACACTGTTTTTCTATAAAATCGAAGCTTCTTATGTTTTTTATTTTGCTGAAAATCAACCACCTGGAAGTAAAGTTGGTCAAGTAGACGGTCATTTTCCATTTAAACAAAATGGTGCGATTGAGTATTTTAGTGTAAATGAGTTATCAGGGGAAATATTCTCCAAAAAAAATTTCTCAATGAAATATTATGAGCCTCAAGTAAATGAATATTGTTTTAACTTTACTGTATCATCTGCAAGTAACAAAGAATTAATAGAAGTTTTTATTTGGGTTTTTAGTGTTCCATTATTTTCTGAATTCTCATATAGTATTTATATGAAAGAAAACAGTAAAATCAATTCACTGACAATGCTTAAATTTTTAAATAACACAAATTTAAAAGTTAGATATAAATCTGAAAACTTTGTTGATAAGTTTCAAATTGTGACCAATGACAAGAATGAGTTATTTTTAAAGCTGTTGTTGCCACTGGATTATGAAAAACAGAAATACTATTTAATAAACATCTCAGCATGTGTCTCATCATTTTGCACTTTTTTATTTGTAAATTTAAATGTTTTGGATGAAAATGATAATCTGCCAAAATTTGACAAAAAAAAATATGACTTTGAAATATACGAAAATACCACTGTATCTGAAAAAGTTGGATATGTTCATGCATCCGACTTAGATTCTGGGTCTAATTCTCAGATTAAGTATAGTTTACATGAAACTGCTGATTTTTATATAAATGAAACAAGCGGCGATATATTTTTAAAAAATTCTGTTGATGCAGAGTCACGGATTTTATATCAAGTGATGTGTATAGCAAGTGATCAAGGAAATCCTCCAAAGATGTCATCTGTTATATTAAAGTTTTCTATTTTGGATTGCAACGATAATCCTCCATTAATAGATGTTATTTTTACACTACCAGGTATTTATCAAATAGTAGAAGGTGAGATTATTGGATGGAAAATAGCTTCTATCTTAGTAAGTGATCCTGACTCTATGAATAAAAATTCGGTTTCTGATCTATTCATTAATGATACTAATTATTTTGAACTACATAAAGAAGAAAATAAATTTTCCTTGCTTACTAAAAAAGTTATTGATAGAGAAACAACTCCGTATCTATTTCTTTTGCTTATAGCCAAAGATAGCTTATCAGCTCTTCTTTTTACTCAAATGAAAATTCAAATTAATGTCAGTGATATTAATGATAATTCTCCTAAATTTTCTCAACAAACATACAATATTTCAGTAAAAGAATCTATAGGTATTGAAGAACTTATTGTTAGGGTTTTTGCACAAGATCTTGACTTTGGTGAAAATGGAAAAGTGTCATATAAAATAGATTCTTCCAGTTTTTTAGGAGCTGAATTTGTTAAGCTTGATCAACAAAATGGTAAAATAGTTTTTGTTCAGAACGTCGATTATGAACTTTTTTCAATAATAAAGTTTCAAATTTGTGCCTTTGATCACGGAATTCCTCAGCATAGATCCTATGCATTTGTACAAATAAATTTAATTGATGTAAATGATAACCCTCCGTATTTTTCTCCATTATTAATGGTTTTTAACATAACAGAAAATCAAGAAGTTGGATCATTTATAGGTATGTTGAATTATATAATTGTATACATATATAATATATACATACATACATATATAAGTTATTTTTGTTACAGAAATAATAATAATATTAATAATAGTTTTTATATATATATATGTATATATATATATATATATATATATATATATATATATATATATATATATATATATATATATATATTAATATATTTATACAGTGCTTGCAAAAAGTATTAGCACACGCAGAGTTTTTTTATATTATTTTTTTTTATCTTCAAACAAGTTTTATTCTAAGAAAATTTTATGTTTTATATGGCCACCTTTGTTTTTAAAACATGCCAAGACTCTAGACTAATGAAGTTATCAACTTCAACTAAATCGACTAAAATTTGAAAGTCAAAATTAGTCGACTTTGAAAAATTGAATAGTCAATTTAAACGACAATTAAATAAATGTTGGTTTTCCTAGTTAAACAATCTTCTATTCATTAATTATTTAATAGGTCAGGAACATCTTTCAGATCTTTCAATTGTTCAAATAGAAAACCAGTTATTGTCTTCCTAGTAATCAACTTAATGTTGGTTTAGTTTAGTAAAAATCTTAAAATCCTTATATCTTTTTATTTGATTTAACTTTTCAATCTTTAATTTTTGTTTGTTCATTTAGTATTAAAAGCATGTACTACTATAACAATTATTTTTTTTGTTTACTCTCTAAAAGTTTTTGCTAATTCATAATGAGGTTCGCTCCTCCGCGTTGCTCTGTGATAAGACCGTACGGACTTCTGGAAGCACCTTAACAGCTATAAAAAAATAAAAAAATGATGTCTAATAAAACTTTCAGTTATGTATTTCATTAAATATTTTTTTTGTTTTTTGTTTACTCAATGCTTTTTATTTTCATAAATACTTTCATACAGGGTGGCTCCAAGCTTGCTTGGGCACCTGAAGCAAAATTAAGCTGAGAAGCTTCAAAATCTTTATGTCATCTATACAATTGCATTGTAAATATGATTGTAAAGACTTTGAAGGGGTGGATGCAGCATTTTTTGATGTTTGAAATAGCTAACTTCTAGACATGGGAGAAACTCCAAATATTTATATGGTCATAGTTTTTAAGCCCTAAGAAATTATTTTGTGATTTTTAAAATTTATCAATGAACATAGATTTAGTTAAGATTAGTAAAAAAAATTTATCAACTTGTTGCTCTCACGTTTGGAGCAGGTGTAGCTAAAAGTTAAGGGCTTTTTTTGTACCCAGGCAGATGCAGCATTTTTTAATGTTTGAAATTTTTTCAAACATTAAAAAATGCTGCATCTGGTCTACTTTGATATATAGTAAGTACTTAAGGCAGTCCCTAAATCATTGGCGTCTTAGAATAAGTTGTCCAGTTGTTGGCGCAGCCTTTTTCTTATATTGTTTTGCTCCATTAACATTTTAATGACATGATGTTAAAAAATAGAAAGCAAATATAAATTTAGTATTTTTATTACCAAAAAAAAAATTCCTATATTTCGACTAAATCAATTTTTATACGACTTAGTAGAAAGTTGATTTAGTCCGCTTTTATTTCAAAAATGACATTTATTTTGACATTTATTTCAAAAATGTATTTGTTGATTTCATTCGACTTAGAAAATATATTATTCAATTTAATTGACAGTTGAATTATTTAATAGTAGTAACAACACTACTCTGTACGACATGGAATTTATAAATTTTTTCTAATTAGATCTTGTGGCATGGTATTCCACAACACTTGTATTTGAGTCTTGAGTTGCACCAACTAAGTAAGCATTTCTCTGTTATAAATTAATTACTAGTTAATTTCCAACATCTGAATGATAAATTCAACTGCAGATAAATGAATTCTAACAAGCAATCCTGTTAACTTTTTTCAAAATGCAACTTTTTTCAAAATGCAACAAATATATCATTTCGGGTTTCAAATAAAGTAAAATTTTAAAATAATAAATATTATACAAAAATTATTATTTTAAGTTTTATTGCATAAAAACTTTAGTTTTTTTTTTATCAAAAAATAAAAAAAGTGTAGTTTCCCATAGTTTTTGTTCAATTTTTTTTTAAAGTGCCTTTAATAACAAAATATATTTATTTTTAAAAATTTTTAAAATTTTCCTTTTTTTAAGACCCAACAAGATATACATTTGAAAAACTTTTATTTTGGAGTTAAGGATCTCGTTGCTAATTGCGATTTTTTTATTTTTTTTTTTTACATAACAGTCACTGATTGTTTTTGTAGTGCTTGAGATTATATTTTAATTATGCATTCTATTATAGAAAGAAAATATAAAATATTTTTTATAAGCAGTGAAAACTTTTACTGCTCTTTGTTTGCAGCCATTAGAACAATAACCAATGGCTGTATAATTTTATTGCAGCTACTAGAGATTAACATCTTAAAAATTTCTAGAAAAGTCTAGAAAAAATTTGGCTTAAATATGAGTGTAAAGTGTAATTATATTTTATGATTGTTAACAATGGATTTGCGTTAATTTTAAATAGTTGTATATAATATTAATTCATAGTTGTAAATACCAAGAGAATATGGTTGTATATAAATTATGTTGAATTGCATTAGAAAATATGAGGCGTTTTAATGTTTAATTTTTTGTAGTTTTGTAGTTTCACATCAAAATTAACAAAGTTAATTTTGATGTGAAACTACAACCTATTTCGGTGAAAATGTTGACTAAAGTTGACTTAAAGTTAATTCCGGAGTTTAGTAGAAATGATCAACAATCGGTTGCAGAATGGCTGGAAAAAGTTGAACTAATGTGCAAACTAATTGGTGTAACCGATCTGGCGAGTGTTGTTTCCTTCCGTCTCACAAATGGTGCATTTGCAGTATATCAACAGTTAGGAGAAAGTGATAAAGAAGACCGGATAAAAGAGGCGTTGTTAAAAGCTTTTGCTGTTGATGCATTTACAGCTTATGAACATTTCATTACAAGAAAGTTAAAGCATGGAGAAGCAGTTGATGTTTATTTCGCGGAACTGCAGAGATTATCTATGCTGATTGGTGGGCTACCAGACAGAGCTATTGCATGTGCCTTTGTTTCTGGGCTTTCTCAGGAAGTTTGACGGATGCTGAAATCAAGTTCTTGTATGGATGTTCTTACTACTATACAAATACTTGCGCGAGCAAGAGCACTCATGATTGAAGAACAGAACGATAGAACAAATGAAAATTTTGCTGCTGCTGCAACAAGAAGACTTGATGAGTCGAGATCGCTTGAAGATCAAACACAACCAGTTTGTTATGAATATAAACTCCCCAATCATTTTGCAAGAATTGTTATCTACGAAGACATAGCAAGCGAAGCAATTTGGGTTGAAGACAGGACAAAAGCGATGTTTTGTGTTACTTGTGTCAAGAGAAAGGACACATATCAAGAATGTACCCAAAAAATGTGCTGAGGGAGAAGATGTTTGCGCCAGCTCTCTCCCTAAACGATCAATAGTGGCGTTACCTATTATATGCTTGGACATTAACGGCGTTGATTGGGATGTGTTGATTGACTCTGGATGTACCTGCTGCATCATTTATAAAAAATGTGTGCCAAAATATGCGAAGAAAGTAGTTAGCATGGTAACTGTAAATGGACAACAACATCAATGCGAAGGCGTTAGCCAAACTTGAATCGTCACACCAAATGGGAAAGAAGTGGATGCACTTGTAGTTGACTTCAAACCACTTGTTTATTGTTTTTTGATGAGTATGGATGGAATAGTGGCTTTTGGTGGAGTATCAATATCTGCAACTTGCGATGTTTGTTTTATGGAAAGACACGAATCATGTTTACTTGGAGTAAGAAGTGATTTGCCAAAAGATGTCAGCAATTTGAATATAACAGCTTGAGATTTCACAGCATCGTTTGAGAAACAAAATCAAGAATGGATAATTGCGTGGAAATGGAATAATAATTCTCAACCTGAAACTTTAGTGAATAAGATTGCTGAATACACAATCCCTGTTGGTATAAAACACGATTACAAAAAAGAAATTGAAGGGTGGATAGAGAAAAAATGGCTGCAAAAGTACGATTTGAAGAAACACGGTCAAATAAAAGGTTTGGTTCCTCTCATGGCAGTTGTGCAACGAAATAAAGGAAAAGTACAACCAGTATTGAACTTCAGGGAGCTAAACACATTTATTGAAACATTCACTGCGAACACAGATGCGTGTGCTGACAAACTTTGAAACTGCAGACGGTTTGGAGAAAATGTTTCAATAATTGATTTATCTTCAGCTTACATGCAACTAAAAATTGATGAGAAACTTTGGGTTTACCAAACTGTTGTGTTCCGTGGACAAAGATTTTGTTTAACACGTTTTGGATTTGGACTGAACGTTGCGCCAGTCATAATGAAAACGGTGTTGGACAAAGTGCTATCGCAAGGCGAAACAATCTGGAAAGGAACGTCATCATACTTTGATGATATTTTTGTGAATGAAGACATAATACCTGTTCGTCACATACTTGATTGTTTGGAAATCTATGGGCTTCATTGCAAGCCGGAGGTCCACGTATCTGATGGAGCAAGAGTTCTTGGTTTACAAGTCGGAATGGAAAGTTGTGTTGGAGAAGTGATAATGATTTTGGTGAAATTTTAAAATTGCTAACAAGACGAAACATCTTTTCTTTGTGTGGAAAAATGACAGGGAATCTTCCAATTTGTGGTTGGTTGTGTGTGGCCTTGTCATATGTTAAAAGAACAGCAAATGCCCTGACGAAAACGTGGAATGAAAAAATAAAATGCAATTATCTGGAGAAAATGCTGAATGATATGGTGAAAAGAACACAAAATGACAATCCTGCTATAGGAATTTGGAGTGTTTACAGTAATGAGGCAACAGTTTGGGTAGATGCTAGTTCAATAGCACTAGGCGTGGTTGTCGAGGTTGATGGCAATATAATCGAAGATGCTTGTTGGTTAAGAAAAGACAACACAACACATATAAACATGTCTGAACTTGATGCAGTAATTAAAGGACTAAATATGGGCCTTAATTGGAAAATGGAAGTTCTGCACATATGCACTGATTCGAAAGCGGTATTCCATTGGTTACCAATGCACTTACTGGAAAATCTAGATTAAGAGGAAAAGCTTCAAACGGAATGCTGATAAGAAGAAGACTTCATAACATTGCAAATATAGTGGAAGAATACCAACTCAAAGTAGATATTAAACTTGTTGCTTCGGAATTTAACTGGGCCGATGCCCTTACTAGAGTGCCTAATAGTTGGTTAAAATTGGTTGATAAACCCTCTTAAATGGCAGCAAGTGGCATTATTAGTACTTCGTTATATTTCAAAGAAATCAAGCACGTTTATAGATCCATAGGACACTATGGCGTGAAGAAAACATTGTATTTTGCTCGTAAAATTGACCCGTCAGTGAGCAAGGAAGAAGTAAAAAAAGTTGTTGAGAAATGCATAGCCTGTCAATCAATCGATCAAAGTCCAATAAAATGTCCGAAAGGGGAAATAGAAGTAAAGAGAATGTGGCAACAACTTGGCATGGACATAACTCATTATGAGGGGCAGAACTATCGACTGTGGACCTACACGGTATGCAATATGGGGATATCTTAAAGATCAAACCAGTGCATGTGTTATTCAGGAATTAAACGCAATATTTCTCAAATGAAGAGGTCCAGATGAAATACTGATGGACAATGATACTGCATTTAGAAGCACATTGTTTTCTCAGTTTGTAAATAAATGGAACATTAAACTTCGATTCAGGTGTACCTTCGGGAAATGGAATTGCCGAACGATGTCACCAAACTGTCAAAAGAAAGGCAAAGAGAGTGCCATGCCACTCCGATGCGAAGAAAGGCAAAGAGAGTTCCATGAGTTCCGATGCGACTTTCAATATAAGATTGGAATAATTACAGGGATAATCTCGGGGCAAGCAGTAGAAGTGGACAAAATGTGTCCACATGTACAAGACCTAAGACAATTAAGAGTAAAAACTATTCGAATGAAAATTTTGGACAAGAAAGAGGTGACAATGATTTAAACGAGGATAATGAAGAATTATGCGTTGTGCTGCCTGGAGAAAAAATAAATAAGATGGCAGGGTTATTTTAGTAAAATATTAGAATTGCTAACAAATATTTGCTTTATATTCTTTTTTTCTATTTTTAAATTTATGCATATAAATTTAAAAATAGAAAAAAAAGTTCCAATTGGTTATATGATTTATACACCTGTAATTGTTTTGTTCTAATTGTTAAAAATGTAAAAAAACTTGTATTTTCTGTTAATGATGAGCCAGTTTAACATAAAAACCGTAAAACTTAAATTTTACATTTTGCACATTCAGTTAAAATAATATTTTTTAAGGACTTATTTAGGTCATGTATGTATATATATATATATATATATATATATATATATATATATATATATATATATATATATATATATATATATATATATATATATATATATATATATATATATATATATATATATATATGTATATATATATATATATATATATATATATATATATATATATATATATGTATATATATATATATATATATATATATATATATATATATATATATATATATATATATATATATATATATATATATATATATATATATATATATATATATATATATATATATATATATATATATATATATATATATATATATATATGTACATGATAATGATGGTGATGATAAAAAAAGTCGTTTTACTTCTTTTTAGGCCAGGTTCATGCTGATGATATAGATACAGTTGACTCACAGAAGATTACTTACTATTTGAACAGTAGTGTTATACAGATTGATAATAATACAGGTATTATAACATCACTAAAAATGTTTGATCGTGAAGAGAAAAGTTGCTATGAATTTGAAGTTAGTACATTTGATAGTGGAGGACTATGCGGAAAGGGAACACTTTTTATTAACATTATTGATTTAAATGACTGCTCTCCTAAATTTGAAAGAGGTGTTTTCAATGTATCAATCACTGAAAACTTTCCTCTTTATGAAGTAGCATTTTATATTACTGCTTATGATTTAGATGAAGGTAGCAATGCATTACCATCTTACTCTGCTATCTTTGAAGATGATACATTTTCTATTGACTCAACTACTGGGGGTGTTATTTTAAATCATAGCTTGAAAAAACATCCAAAACGCTTATTTAATTTCCAAGTTAGTGTGAAAGATGCAGGAGGTTTTCCTGGAATAAGTACAGCAAGAGTTTTACTTAATATATTCCCTCCAAGTATTTTGCCTCCAGTGTTTACTGAAAATAATTACATTTTTAATGTGGTAGAAAATAATCAAATTGGTAAAGTTATTGGAGTCTTGCAAGCTGTTAGACCACTATCTCAAAGTGCTGCTTTTATTATTTTTGAAATAGCTAATGGCAATAATAGCTTCACTATTAATTCTATATCAGGTTCTTTGTGGGCAAATACAGTTTTAGATTTTGAAAAAAAAAAAGAGCATTTCATACTAGTTAAAGCAATTGATTCTTTAAATATAAGCTTGATAAATCTTACAAAAGTTCAAATTAATGTTTTAGATCAAAATGATAATCAACCATGGTTTGTAAACAAAACTGAAAATGTTTCTATTTTAGAAGGTGTTCCAATTGGTTATATATTTTTCAAGTGCCAAGCATTTGATAATGATTTGGGTTTAAATGGGTTAGTTAAATATAGCATAACAAATACTAGTGGACCAATCAATGTCTCAAGTGAAAGTTGCAATGTATTTACTACTGGGACAATAGATTATGAATTGGTTAAAGAATATATTGTTTATATAGAAGCAGTAGATCAAAGTTCACCATTTCATAAAGCTACACTACAGCTGAAAATCCAAGTTCTAGATACAAATGATAATTTACCAATATTTTCTAATTACTCATATGTAGTTCATCTTGCTGAGAATTTACCTTTAAACTCTCTGATTATTACAGTTCATGCAACAGATCAGGATTCTGGTTTAAACGGAGAATTGATTTATGAATTAGTTAGTTCAAAACATTCTGAAATGTTTTTTCTAAGTATAAATGGATCTCTTTACTTAAAAAAAGCTATTGATTATGAAGTTAATCAGTATTTTTTACTTACTTTAAAAGTTATTGATAAAGGTTTACCCCCTCAGAAAAATGAAGTTAAATTGACTATTATAGTTGAAGATGAAAATGATAACTCTCCAGTTTTTGAAAAAAACAATTATATTTTTTACTTGAATGAAGAATCCCCAGCAGGATCAGTTGTTGGGATTGTGACAGCTTTTGACAATGATCAGGGTACTAATGCAGATATGGAGTTTTTTATTTCATCTAATGATTTTACTTATGATAGTGAAAACATTTTTGGGAGATCTGACTGCATCATTAGATCATTAAGGAAGTTTGACAGTGAATCCGGGGACAAAGAATTTGGCGTAACTATCACAGTAAAAGATCTCGGAAAACCTTCATTAAAAAGTATTGTTCAAGTTAAAATTGTTATCAAAAACATAAATGATCACCCACCAAAGTTTTCCAAAGCTACTGCATACTTTGCATGTGTCGTTAGAGAAACAAGTATGAATTCTTTTGTGATACAAATAGAAGCAACTGACCCTGATGTAGTTCCTTATCCACTAAAATATAAATTAGGTGCAACTGAAAATATAACTTCTAATTTTTTATCCATATTTAGAATAGACTCCTCAAGTGGTGCTGTTTACACAAAACAAAAAATCGGTTTTGAAATGCAATCATTTTATGAAACAACAGTCAGTGTAGAAGAAGTTGGAGACGGATTAATACTGTTTAACTATCAAAAGTTAGTCATATTTGTTGTGCCACTCCTTCAGCATACATTTTTTACTGATAGCTGCATGGTGGCTGCTGTTTCAGAAAAGTCTCTGCCACAACAAGGAATTATTAGTGATGCAATCAGTTACAATAACCAATTTGTTGTGTCTAACTACAGTATTGTAGAAAAAAATGTACCTTTTTTAGTTTTAAAAACAACAGGTTTATTGCAACTTACCCAAACTGTTAGTTTCGAGAATTCCAAGTACTACCAGTTTCGTATAAGTGCAGATGGGTTGTGGAAAAAAGATAAAATGACTCTTTTAACAGATTTTATAATGATGAATATATATGTAATACCAGAAAATAAGTATGTGCCCACATATCCTGATAATCCTGAGAGATACACTATAAGTGAGGATTGGCCAACTCTTATACCTTTTGCAGTCTTGCAAAAAGCTTTAGATAATGATGCTGATCTTGGTGGCTTTGTTGTTTATTCTATTAATTCCACAAATCCATCTAATGCCCCAGTACAATTGTCTCCAATAAGTAGGGAGCTTTTTTTAACTCATTCTGTTGACTATGAGGAACAAGAGGTTTTGAGTTTAAAGATTGGCATTACTGATCTTGCTGCAAATATAAATGAGCGTCTTTTTAATACATTTACAGTGTATATTTCTATCAAAGATGTCAATGATAATTCTCCTGTGTTTAAATCAGCAACATCTGCAAAAATTCAAGAAGGAGAAAATCCTGGCACTATGGTATCAACCATTCAAGCTGAAGATCCTGATAAAGGTGAAACTCACACTGCAATAGGCTACTATATTATGTCTGGTAATGATGCGGGATTTTTTAATTTAAATTATTTAACCGGCAATCTTTTTACTTTAAAACCTCTTAATGCATCCGTTGGAAGAATCTACATCTTAACAATTAAGTTGGTTGAGTTAAGAGAAAATAAAATTTCATCTTTAAGTAGTACTCAAAATGTTACTATTTATGTTGATGATATTAATGATCATCCACCTAAATTTAGTAAAGCAATTTATCATGCAGTAATAAAAGAAAATATGATAAATGGTTCCTATATTACTCAATTGGCATATGTTGATTCAGATATTTTTAAAGAAAATACTCAATCTGTTTTTGACCTTTTTGATAATTTTGACAAATTTTCTATTGACACAGAAACTGGAATTATAGTTAGTAAAAAAAGTTTTGATAGAGAAGTTCACTCTTCCTTTATTTTGACAGCTGTAGTAAAAAATATTGCTTATCCATATGGGCAAGATTTTTGCACTGTGGTAGTTGATATTGAAGATATCAATGACAATGCACCAGTTTTAAGTGGAGGAGAGAAAGTAAAACTGCACGTCTTTGAGAAGCTAAGAGCTGACAATACTAAGATTCATAAGTTTGAAGTTTTTGATCTGGATATTGGTATAAATGCTGCTGTAAATTTTTTTCTTTCTCCTGTTCAATCTTATTTTTTCATTAACAAAACGACTGGTGAGCTGCACCTACTAAATAGTTTAGATAGAGGAGAACGTCGCAAATATAAGTTTAGTGTTTTTGTTGAGAATATTTCACCTCCCTACTTCATGAGTTATCAAAATGTGACAATAGTTGTTGTGGATGATGACGATAATAAAATAGAATTTGAGCAAAAAGTGTATTATGTTGAAGTTCAAGAAACTACTTCTGTTAATATGACTATTTTACATGTCAATGCCACAGATAAAGACTCTAGTAGAAATTCTGTAATTTACTATGAGTTCGTTGATTCAAATGATCATTTTATTATTGATCGGTATAGTGGAGCAATATCAACAACAGTTTCACTTGATTATGAACAAAAAAAAGAGTACCAGTTGGAAGTTAAAGCTATAGATAGTGATTCAAAAATGTTTGATTTATGTCAAGTCATTATTGAAGTTATAGACATGAATGATAATTACCCAGTGTTTTTGCAATCAAAGTATACAAAAGTTATTGAAAAAGTCACCTCTTCATATGTTTTGCAAGTGCAAGCTTCAGATGCTGATCTTAATGGAAAGCAAGGAGTGAGTTATGCTTTTGACCCTCCAAGTCATCATTTTAATATATCAAGTTCTACAGGTGAAATTTTTATTACAGATAGAAATCTTATGCCAGGACAATACCATTTACATGTCAAAGCTGTTGATGATGGTGGTTACAAAAAGTCATATGTTCAAGTTTTAATTACAGTTGGCAACAGCACTGAAATTGAGATTCTTAATAAATCTGTTATTTTTACAGTTGATGAAAATCCACCAAATGGATTTGTACTTGGTACCATATATGCCAAGGCCAAAAGCAGTGATAAAATCACTTATAGCATTTTAGAAGCTACCAATCCAGATTTAGGTTTGTCCATTAATCAAAAAGGAGAAATTTTTGTAAACAAAAGTGAATCTTTAGACTATGAAAAGTATCCAATTATAATGCTTGGAGTCCTTGCTTCAATATTTGTAAATGATGAAACATATAGTTCATACTTAACTGTAGTGATCAATCTTAATGATGTGAATGATAATGATCCTCAGATTATACCACTGAATAAACAGTATAAGTATTTGGAGTCTGATTCTTCTAATTTCAAACCACATATTTTAAATTATTTTGATGTTAAAGATGATGACCATATTGATTTAAATAAGCTTAAAGTTGTCATAATTTCTGGTAATGATGATGGCATGTTTGAAATAGTTGAAGGAACAACAGTTATGACATTACTTAAGCCTATTGATTATGAAACTAAAAAAGAGCATAACTTACTTGTGCGGGTATATGATGGTGGTTCTCCTCCTAGATTCAGTGATAGCTATTATACACTCATCATTGAAGATAGAAATGATAATCCTCCAGTTTTTCAAAATGTTGATACTATATTTGTAAATGAAAATGTAACTTCTGGTAGTGTTGTAGGAAGTGTAAGAGCTACAGACATAGATGTTTCAACGACTGAAATTATTTATGAAATAGTAGACGGTAGTAGTTCAACATTCACTATAGATGAAAACCTTGGCTCTATAATATTAAAAAAATCAAAATATTTGGACTATGAAAAAGTTAAATTTTATAACCTAAACATTTCAGCATCAGATAAGCTGCATAAAACCTATTGTCAACTAAATATTAATATAACTGATTCTAATGATCACCAACCAATTTTTACAAAACAACTATATTCAGTAAAGGTTCAAGATACCATCAAAAAAGGAGAATACATAACTAAAGTCTCTGCAGATGATTTAGACAGTGGCAGTTATGGATATGTTCAGTATTTGTTAGATCCTCCACAAGATGCCTTTACAATTGAACAAGATTCTGGCAAGATTATTACAAACAAAGAATTTCAATTTAACGAAGATGCAACAGTGATGGAGTTGCAGGTTGTGGCATTTGATTCTAACATGGCACTTGGTTATCTTAAATCTACAACAATTGTGTTGCTTGAGGTTGAAGGTAAGAAAGCAATTTATCCTAAATTTCAACAAAGCCATTATTATATGAAAATATCAGAAGGCGCTAGCATAGGTGCTGTTGTAGGAATTGTAACTGCATTGTTTACTAACAGCATCCATCAGAATATAAAATACTTTATACGACGTGAAATGGAAACATTTTCAATTAATGCTTATTCTGGACTTATAACAGTGAACAATCAACTTGATCGCGAGATGCAATCAAGTTACAACATTGAAGTTTATGCTGCAATTGCCCATCAGCCAGATGTTTTTACAAAATGTATTGTCTCAATACAAGTACTTGATATTAATGATAATAATCCAATATTTGAAAAACATGATTATAATGTATCAGTTCTTGAAAATGAAAATACTGGTCAAATTTTGCTGACTGTATTAGCTACTGATGCTGATGATAGTGCAACAGAAAATGGTAAAGTAAGATATGAGATACATTCAGGACAAGATGAAAATGAGTGGTTATCAATCGATGCTGATACTGGTGTAATAAGAACAAAAAGACTTCTTGACAGAGAGATTAGGCCATATCTGCAAGTTACCATAAAAGCTGCTGATCACAAAGGTTATCAATTATTTTACAGATTTTTTAATTTATATTTTATAAGTACTTTATAAGATCTTTATAGTATTTGTCAACTTTTAAAACTTTTTTCTCACAATCTGATAGGGGGTTTTAACAAATTTTGCTTTTAACTGATTCCAAATGCACAAAAATGTTTAGAATATACAGGGCATTTGAAATGTACAAATACCAGTGATTTAACCACTACTGTGGATAGAACTCTATTAAGTCCTGCAAGAGACAGGGTACAAAAATTAATTAAGAATCTTAATAAGAAACTATATAACATTTGCTGTTGAATTAATTAATTAATTAAAAAAAAATTAAGAATCTTAATAAGAAACTTATATAACATTTGCTGTTGACTTTAGTAAAAGCTTTCCTGACTTAAATAAAGTTTCTTTAAAAAAGGCAAAATAATACACAAAATCTATAGTGAAAATTATGCTTGCAGGAATTAAAAATTTTAAAAAAACCATACAATTTAATTGGTTCTTGGCTATGTAATGGTGCAACCTGATTTGTTTGCAGGGTTTCAGCACATGAAAAATCAGATAATTTGATTGGTCCTTCACTTCTGAAAGCAGCTGATTTGTTATAAATAAAACTTTAAAGTAATGCATTATGGGGCTACAAATTATGCTTATTTGATTGGTTGAAACTTTAATTTGCAGGATTAAGATATAGTAGAAGTTTTGCTAAAAAGGTGTTTCTTAGCTCTTGCATTGTATACACACCACATGTGTATAAAATGTGCAAATAAAGAGGCAAAACAAAATTTTTGACTTTTTATTTTGTTTTGTTATTAAACGTTTAAGTGTCTTGAAATTATAAAATAAACACAAGAAAAAATGTTTATGAGAATATTTTTTGTATATCTATGCGGTGAAATGTAACTTAGTTACAATATAATATAGAAACATAAATAAAAACGTTTTATACCTTATTTAAAAAATCAATTACAACAAAAAAAGTTGCTAAAAATGATTTCAATAGAATATACTCAATAGAATGTAATATAAATGAAGTTTAAAATGAAAGTTCATTTAAAAAGCTATATAGAAAAGTTATTTCTACATAACTTTTTATTAGAACTTATTTTTATTATATGTTTTGTGTCACAACATAGGGTAAGGTGCTTTATTACGACAGGGTTAGCTAAAAATTGGGCCTCAACCCCTGAATTTATTTTCTCCATCAATACCAAATTTGACTGTATGATTGTTTAAGCTCCTTTTTAAATCAAAAAAAGTTTTCCAAAATATTTTACCTTTTATTTTAATTTCAACAGATTTAAAAACTTTCAACAGATTCAGAAACTTATCTAGCAAACTCCTCAATATCTGCATACTTTTTTTAAAAACAAATTCACTCACAACTAAACTGCAAGCTAACATATGCAACCACTGAGTTATTGAGTTATGATCGCAAAACAGAGTTAAAGAGCAAGATTGCAGTTGACAGGTGACTTAAAAAATTGTAAATTGTATAAAAGGCTTTGTTAATGACGAGTCACCTGAAATTGAGTTTTAGTTGATGGAACAAGTGATGATAACTTGTTTCGACAGCAACTATGGCACAGGGTTGCCACCAAATCAGGGAATTCAGGGAAAGTCAGGGAAATTTAGATTAGATTGGGAAAATTAGGAGAAAAATATTGATTTAGTTAAAAGTTAAAAGTTTAAAATGGTTTATAGCAAATAATTTTTTTAGTTTACTTATTTAATAATCATCTCAAAAGTTCAAATATTTGATCATTAAAATAAAAAATTAACTTTTTTTTCTGATCATTTATTTACAATACAAACCAAACAAAAAAATTTATGTAAAACATTTATACAGGTTTGATTTATCAACCATTTGATTGGAACCATTATTAATAATCTAAATGAAATTATTATGTGCTTTTTTATGTAAAAATAGCTGCAGCATGTGAAGATTTTCAAAGTTTTTTAAAACCATATTTTCATTCTCTTTTTTTAGAATAAACAAAAAATTAAAATTTTTTAAATATTATCTTATTTTAATAAAGAGTGATTGAGTGATCCATTGTTTAAAAAATAGCTGGTAAATGGCACAGATAAAAAGAGCAATATTCCAAACAAGAATAAATAAAAGATTTATGTAGGTAGAGATTCAAGAGTAAGAAAATGGTAAACACAATAAACTTTGATATGGCTTGTAAATATGGTTCCCACGAGAGGTCAGTATTGAATGATAATCCAAGTAAATGCAAAGTAGAGGTTTTGATAAGATTGTTATTTATTGATAAAGATCAACTATTGCAATACAAAACTCAAATGATTATTTTTGTTTGAATTAAAATTTAACAGTCACTGAAAGTTCCATGTTAATAACATGGAGAAGAAAGATCAGATTCAACATCAACTTGTTTTAATGATAACAAAATAATAATCTTTTAACAAGACTGCCTCATCACCAAAGAGAACAACTAACAGCATCAGAAAAATCAATAAAATAGAATAAAATAAAACAGTCATTCAATATTTCTTACTCAACGCTTATAGAACTAAATTTAAATAAAACAATGTCGTGTAAAAACAAAACAAAAAATTAAAATAATATAAAAATTATTAAAATAATTTTACTGTAAAAATAAGTTATATAATTAAAAATTTAATAACAAAGTGAAAATTAATAACAAAGTAAAAACTTTTTTGAAAAAGTATAAAAAGTCAATGAAACTTCCCCTATGAAAAAAAGAACATTACAAGTTATCTGTATAAAAAAAAAACAAATATTCTTTAGAAGATTTTATAATAATGTAAAATATTTTTTAAACTTGTGTTTTTTTTTTTAATACGAAAAGTCAATATAATACACTCCATAAGCAAATTAACAAGATATTAATAAAGTCTATTTATAAATAAATATCATTTGGCAAGGCATTCCTTTTTAATTGATGTCTGGTAAAGACTCTGAAATAAGAAATATTTGTTTCAGTTATAGACATAATATTAGTAAATCTTTTTCTAAAACATGCTTTGTGTTTAATTTTTTTACAAAGCATAACCCAATTCAAACTAGCTGATAAGTACACTCATGAGGAATTATCAAATATCCTCATGAAACCTTTTCCATTAAATCTTTAACTTCATTAGTTAGTATAGGTTCATCCTCAGCATAAACTAGTTCACCATCACATTTTTTCTCCAGCCACCTTGCCACATAGGCAGCAGAGCTCCCTTCAGTTTCAGAAAGATTCACATCATAAATACAAGTTTCAATTGAGGTCACATCTTCAAAACTAATTAGACCTTCACATTGTGATCTTTTGTACTGGGTCCTACTTCCACTAACTCTAGAAACATTGCATTCTACTTCCACTAACTCTAGAAACATTGCAGCAAATTGAGCAAAATGCTTCGAGTCAGTAAATTGAGTATAAAAAATGTCCCCAGTTGCCATAAAAGCATTTGCCCCTGTTGATTATCTGTAAACATTAAATTCTTCAATTCTGTCACTTTGTAGTTTGTGAAGCAAGGCATAATCAAAGCCAACTGAAAAAAAATGGTTTAAGACAGCTATCAACCCTTCAGTAGTTTGCACAAGGGATTTTTGGTATCACAAGTAACACATTGAATTCTTTTGGGTCCATGTCATGATTTTTATAGATTAAAATTGTTTTAAAATTAAATGCAGATCATTTTAATTTTTATTTTGTACAGATCAGTTATGGTCTCTTAGTCTAATACTTTGCCCTTTTGCAGAAATATTAACAATATTCCACCAATATATAACCTGCTGAATAAAAGAAGATGTTTCATAAGCTCCTTTTAGTTTCAGAGCAGGTACTACTTTCTTGTTAAATATCCTTAAAACACATTCTGTAGTTGAAGACAAGAAAGATAAACAGCAACATGGAAACTGATTTCAAAAATGTATTTTTTCTAATATTGATATAGATTTTTAACATCAGAAAAGGAATCAATGGTTTTTGTTGTTATGAGATAACTTTTAACACTTTTCAGAAATCCAGTTACTTAAACATTTAAGAAGATGAACTGTATCAAACAATAGAAATCAAACAGGCAGATAATCTAATGGATAAATGACCTGATAGTCAGTAGTTCTATTGAAAATTTTGCAGTATTGCTAATTGATTTTATGATTATCTTTTACAGATCCTAAAATTATGCTGCCATGTTTTTCAACTATAACAGAAGCTTTTTTCATAATATTAAATTAACACATTGATGTTAGTTTGTGAACAGGGGTAACAGAAACAATTAAATTAGGTCCAATTTTAGGCATTTCATTATGATACATAGCATAAAAGCTGCTTTACATTTTGGATAATTTTTTCCTATCCCATTTAAAACTGAACCAACTGTTGGTCTGATTTTTACTTCATCGACTATCAAAAAAGCATTTTTCTGATGATCGTTCTTTACTTTTTTAAAAATGTTTTTGTAAAACAAGATCCATACTTGTGCCAGAAATTGTAGACTGCAGCTTTCGTTAACTTGGAATCACTAAAAAATTACAAAATTGGCCATAGTTGCAGTTATAAAAAGATTCAGTAGCCATGCAGTAATTAGCTATAGAGAAATAGTTTTAAATTTAAGTTGTCTTATAATAAAATTCAATTTCTTTTGCATGATAGCATCCTTTAATCCAAATTATAATCTGAAAGAATAATGTCACTTTTTCAATAATATCATTAACATGTAGATTATAATTATGAACTAAATTAATAGCTTCAAAAAATTTTTGAAGCTATTAATTTAGTTCATTTTTGAAAATCTCTTTCAATGCCAAACAAATGCCAAGTTGCAAATTATAATGAACTTAAAAATTACTGTTTTTAAATTACCTAAAGATAAAGTTAAGAAATAGATTAACATGCTTCCTCCATGTTAAGATATGAGAATAGAGCCATTATATTTTTCATATGTGAAAAACATTTGCCTGAAAATATAGAAATGATTAAGCTTCCTTGTGACTATACTCGACAACTATGTGCACCAAGTATTTTTAATGTTCCTTTTTCTTGTTTACCAATACCCAAGTCAGTGCTTCACCAATCTAAGCCTGAGGATTGGCAACTTAATTATTTTATTAAAAAAGATAAAATAAATTCATTTTCTGAATTCTATCCTGACAAAATGCAGGTGAATAAAAAAAATCAATTGCTTTTACTCAGTAATTGGTCACCTTTACATGAATAAAAACTTAAGCAGTTTTGCTCAAATTTTTATCCATGTAAAGTTAAGCAGCTTACTCAGTAATTGCTCAGCTTTACGTGAATAAAACTTAAGCAAAATTGCTAAGTTTTTTATTCAAGTAAAGCTGACCAATTACTGAGTAAAAGCAATTGATTTTTTTTATTCACCTGCCTTTTGTCAGGATAGAATTCAAAAAATGTATTTATTTTATCTTTTTTAATAAAATAATTAAGTTGCCAATGCTCAGGTTTAGATTGGTGACGCACTGACTTGGATATTGATAAACAAGATAAAGGAACATTAAAAATACTTGGTGCACATAGTTGTCGAGTATAGCCACAAGGAAGCTTAATCATTTCTATACTTTCAGGCAAATGTTTTTCACATATGAAAAATATAATGGCTCTATTCTCATATCTTAACATGGAGGAAGCATGTTAATCTATTTCTTAACTTTATCTTTAGGTAATTTAAAAACAGTACTTTTTAAGTTCATTATAATTTCCTTTAAAATTTGCAACTCAGCATTTGTTTGGCATTAAAAGAGATTTTCTAAAAATATTACTGCAATGCTAAAAACAATTCATATTTGATAAGAATAATGGCCTTTGCTATCTAAGTTAGAAAATCAACTTTGAACATACTGTTATATAGTACTTCTTTGTCAAGAGCGATTGCTCTTGCATATCAGCAGTAGAACAAGAGGATCAAAATCTGTATTGATTGTCAGAAGGAAAATTGTTAGATTTAAGATAATAGAAGTTTGTTTATTAAAAGTTCAAAAATCTTTGCTAATAATAGTAAAAATACTAATTGAGGAAGAATTGAGCTAAAAGGTGTGACCAAGGTAATCTCCAGTGTTTTTAAATATTCAAACCATTTTTTAGCAATGAGGACTCTTTTGCATTAATTTCTTATCTCAGACGTTTCTAGAGACTTTTGCCAAATCTTTAGCAGTGCCATTAACAAAGGTCTAATATTCCATTTCTAATACATGGGTCTTATCTTATTATCTCTCCCAAGGATCAAGCAAAACTATGTTTGCATCTATTTTTTTTTTGTTTTGCATTTTATATTTTATATTTATGCTGTTATTTTATACTATTACATATATGTCATTATCTTTTTAAATAAATTATCATTAATTATCATTAGGATCTGGGCGAAGTGACTTTGCGCGTCTAACAGTTGAAGTGTTGGATGTAAACGATAACCCTCCAGAGTTCAAGGTAGATGTCCCAAATTACCAAGAGATAAAAATTTCTGAAAATCTACCTCCGAACACACAAGTTTTCAATGCATACGCATTTGATCCAGATGAGGGATTGAATGGAATGGTAAATAGTTTCACTTAGGTTACTGATAAGTAAATTATTATATTTCTTTTTAGTAGGTTTTAATGTTTTTAAATTTATTTAAGTAGATTTTGATAAGTGAATTAGATTTTTTACTATAAGTTTTTATATTTCTAAAATTATATTTATTATTTTATATTATTATCCTATTAGATATCATACAGTATCTTGGAAAGAGATGTAATGTTTTACATGAACGATTCAACTTCAGGTTTAATTTACACTAAAAATTCGTTAGATTATGAATCAGTTTCACTTTATAATTTAACAGTGGTAGCTACTGATTGTGGGGAAAAACCGCTAGTATCAAGTTTTGAGTATCAAATTCATGTTCAAGATGTTAACGAATATGCTCCATTGTTCACCAATTCTAAATTTATTTTTAATATTCCTGGTAATCTTCAAGTTGGTGAAACTATAGGAAAGGTTAAGCTTTGAGTTCAAATTTTTTTTAATAAATAAAAATAATAACTTTGCAAAATACTAAGGTTACCTTCACACTGCATCAAGAGCAAATTCAGACCATCTAGTAAGAGGGGCAATATTCAGGTTTTTTTGATTCGGTGATTGGATTTGGTCTAAGCCATCTAAGGAGGAAGGAGGGAGGGCAATTTTTTGATTTGGTGGATCCAGATTAGGGGGGTGGTTTTCAGGTTTAATGATTTGTGAGCAGGCAAGCCCACTAATCGCAAAACATTTTTAATTAATTTTTTAGAATATAAGTCTTACACTCAGATTTTTTTTTTTTTTTTTTTTTTGCACCACATCATTTTGTTAAAATTTCTTATCACTTTTAAACAACCACCCTAGTTTACACCCGTTTTCAAACAATATGTGTTGTTAAATATATAAAGAAACAAAAAAAAAATTCTTTCTAAAATATCTAAGTGGGTTGATTGCCCTCATCGTCCTCCTTTGATATCCCCTATGGATCCGCCATTGCACTGCATTGCATCACATTTTTATTTTTCTTCACTGCATCGATTTTTATTTATAGACAAATGTGTTTTTCTTGCTCTGTATAGGTAGGGCTTTATTGTGACTTGCCACTTTTTACAACATTTTATTTAACTTACTTTCTTGTCGGTTTATTTTTTTGTTGTCCGCGCAAAACAAACACGAGGTCAGGGGTAATAATGAAAGATATCGTTAAAAAAAGTAATTAAAACAAACAACGCTAGTTTAGCGTAAATAAAAGAAATCGTTTAGAAAATTAAAACAAACAATAAACAACAAACTTTTAGCGTTTTAGTTTATCGTAAATAAATAGAATCGCTGTTGAATAATAAAAAAATTATAATAAAAAAAACTTTTAAAAATGGTCTAAAAAGTAAAAAATAAACTATTTCACGGGACTCAAGGATTTTGTGTACGTACACAACCTGAAATATCCATTAAAGTCAATGACTGAAAATGTTGGGCGCCAATAGGAACGAGTTGCACTTAGTTGCCCAAAATTGTGTATGTACACAAAGTCCTTGGGTCTCGTGAAATAGTTTATTTTTTACTTTTTATTCCATTTTTAAAATTTTGTTTTTAAAAGTTTTTATTTTTTGATTTTATTTAATCAGTATTTAATTTAATTTTTGAGCCCTCTTGTAATGTTTATATGAAACTATTAACTTTTTTTTTATAAATAAAATGTTGTTATTTAGTTTGTTAAAAAGTTGATTAAAGACTTATAAATTATATGATATTATATAAACTGAATTTGTCATTATTAAGCCAAAGCATAACATTTAATCTTTAATCTTGCCTTGAGATATGTTGTTTTAGCATTATAAGTAATTTAAAAGATTTGGTCTTTGACAAATGGAAGATTTTTGTTATCTAATTTTGTTCCATATTTACAAATTATATTTTTGGTAATTCAATATTTTTATCAATAGTGATGGTAATTTTTATATAAAAAATATATTATTATTATATTTTATTATATTTTCATAAAATATTTTCTTTAAAATACTTAGAGTACTGAATTACACTAGAATTTGCTTAACAGTTTGAATTTTATGTAGTTTAATAAAGACATTCTTCAATATTTATTTATTAAAATTTGTTGTTGATTTTTAGGTTGATTCTTTTGACAAAGATGGTGGTGAAGCTAACATCACTCATTACACTATAATATCTGGATTTTCAGACAAGTTTTCGTTGGATTCTATTAGTGGGTCTATCACTTTAGTTAAAGATTTACGCTTTAATAACAAACAAGGTGCTTCTGATGTTGCAAAATATATTTTAAAGTTAAGAGCGGACAATTATCCTCCTAGCAACTTATTATATTCTTTAACAGATGTTTTTATCATAGTTAATCATACTTGTGCTGGATGTGAGATTTTTTCTGAAATTACCCTTAAACCCAAACAGTCTATGGCAAGTTCATCAATTCTTATTGTCTTTGCTTCTGTTATGGTTCTAGTAATTCTCATCTTTTTGGTGTTATGCATTGTTTACTGTCGTCGAAAATCATATAGGTGTTATAAAAAACCATTTTTTTATAATAGTAACAAGTTAAATCTTCCTAAATCTTCAGTTGAATGCAAGCTTCTACATACATATAATAAACATTCAACCCTTGATATGGTTGATACTCGTTTCAGTTCAGACTTTCCTGAAAAATCTTGTGGAACTCAACTTTCTTCCGTCATAGGTTTACTAAACAAAAGCAGTGAAACCTCTGCATCTGTGACGGACAAAGCCAGTACTTTTTCTTTTGGTATCTATCACGAACAAGGTACAGAACATCGGCCGTTTCTAAAAGGCGTTTCTAAGTTAAACCCTAAAAGTATAGACGAGAAAAACAATTTTAGATATAAGGCTTCTAATTCATCACCGAAAAACTCGATATCAATTGATTCACGAAAATCTAACAGTTTCCAATCAAGACAGACAGGATCAGGTAATGGCATTGTAAGAGGAAGTCATGAAAGTCTCAAAGATTTTATGGAAGAAGGAGGAGGCGAAGCTGCAGGAGGAATCGATGTTCGCAATTTGTTGTACGCTAAACTTGCTGAGGTTGAAGATCAACACGAAGACAACATGGACGGTGTAAAACCATTTAAGGATGAAGGTTTTATGTCACGAGGAGGTTCCTTAAGTACTATTATAGCCAGCGATGAAGAGCTATCACCGTATGATTATGAGTGGCCCTCACATAATTTAAGACAGAGTGGTGTTTTTCACGAAGAAGATCGTTACAAAGGCCCTGATCCAGCGGCTATTTCTTTGCAAACAAATCCAATTGAAATAGTTGAATATACTTCACAAAAAAGAAACCAATCATCTGGATCTCTTTTCACATTGTCAACAACATCTGGAAATACAAACAATTCCCCAGATAAAGAAAGAATTTGGCGTAGCGAGAGTGTTTGTAGTCAGCTATCAAGGATCACACTCTCTGATATAGATCTCACAGACGACGAAAACGTCCGAGTTTAAAATCCGTAATCATAGCTTTTCTTTTTAATTTACCTGTTCGAATTCAAATATCGGAATATCTGAAAACAGATATCAGAAATGATTTCACGATATCAAAATTACTTTTCATCCTCATCTTTACAGGTACTTTGATTAATCCATGAGGAGAAATTCTTTAATTAAAAATTTCGCTAATGGTTTTTTTTAATTGCTTCAGATATTCTGTATTATATTTTTTTATTTATTGTGATTCTTTTTTTAAATTTAATTTTTATGGTGTACATATGTAAATATGTTTATATTTTGATTTGATTATAGTTTTTCGTTGTGTTTTTTTTTCTATTTTTAATTTTGTTGGAAATTCCTTGTTTTTTTTTTATATAAATTAGGTAAGAATAATACTGATTTAAATTATAAAATATTTATCTTAAATGAAAACAAATGCAAAAATCGTAACGAAAATTGAAAATCATCTCGAAGCGCAGATACCTACTTAGAGCGCTGACTTTTGAATGAAAATGTCTGTGATTTGATGCCCGCTAAGGTCATTAGCGACCACGTTGAGTAAAGCGGCGGGAAATTCTTTATTAAATGCTATTTTGCAGTATTGTATAACTAGTCCTTTTTGGAGTACCATTTAAAAATTTTAAGTCAATTTTTTTGCATATTGTGTCAAAAGAAAAATTAAAAGACAGATTCCCACAAAAATAAATGGAAACATTTTCTAAAAACTCTTTTAGAATAATTGGTTGTTTTTTTTCATTATTATCATTATCATCATTTTTTTATTGCAATCTTTACATTAACATAAAGATGTTAATATAATGCAATCTTATATTAACAAAAAAATATACAAATATAAAGATATCGCTAAAAGCAAAAAACAAATTAAGAATACAAATGAAAAAAAGAATACAGCGGAAAACTCGAAGAAGACCAACATGATTTTCATATTTAAATCCTTAACTTTAATTTATAACTTTTAGAATTTTTCATTATTTCAGCAAATCAATAATACCAGCAAATATCCAAATAAATAACACCAGCAAATATCCAAATAAATGGATATATCCAAAATAACCTCAAATAAATAAATAAGCGATTCTTAATTGTCAAAATTAAATTATTTTTTAAAATTAAAAAATCTACTTTCTCCAGTAAACTATATATATCAACGTAGTTAAGGAGAGATCCGAAGAAATATATAAAGCGTTTAGGCGCTTTCGTTTTCAAAAAAAGCCGTTTTATTTTGTGTGCGTTTTGATTTGTTTATTTTTTTAAAAAAACCACGAAGTTTGTTGTTTTATTTTGTTTACATATATTCGGTAATTTAAAATCTACGAGTTTAAGATTTTAACTAATTACTTTGAGGCAGCAGTTATTATTTTATTATTATTCTTTTCATCACCCAAAATTACAGGTAAAAGATACAGAGGTCATAAAACTAATAGTTTATACTCTAAGTTAAAATTCTAATTTAGATTTTTCCTGGAATGCTTTCTTCCATTAAATTTTTGAATATTATTCTCAGCTCTCTGATGTTCCAGAATTCAAAGGACTAGTTTAAAATTCCTGCTATATAAAATATATAAAAGCTGAAACCTTTTCTTTTGGTAATTTATTCAAACGACTATAAAGATAGGGGGTCCTTAATCGTCTTTTTTTAGATTTTTTATAGTTTAACCAATTTTTCTTAATTAGTTTTTCATGCTGATTCTGAAAATCATAATCATTTTTTTTTCATTTTAATTATTTAGCCTTCTACTTCGCTTTAATAAAAGTGAATATATTGACAAAAAAAAGGCATTGTTTAAAATAGATGAAATTATTATTATCATTAAATATAAGAAAAGTAGAAAACTAGAAATCTTTTTCTGTTTAATTTATCAATAATATACCTTATCATTTATAAGTAACAAAAAATATTAAGCATTATATATGAAAATAATTCCTACAGTTTGTTATTTACTATTGAAAATAGAAAATAACTATAAAAGTAATCATATGTGATAGAGATTGCTGCGTGAACTTTCCTTATAGAACATCTAGATTATGAGCGTGTTCTTTGGTAGACATAAGATGGAGGTTTGTATTTTTATATCAACAATCATGTATTTAAACAGAATAGACCTCCGCGATAATGACCTACATTGTATCCCTAAAATAAAGAACCTCATTTTTCGAACTTTTTTTTCATTTTAACATATCTTTATCTACTTCAATAATGTCTAGTTCACAGCTAAATGGGCTGCCTTATAACTTTAATCAAGCTAAAACAGAACTCATCTTGCACACCTGATGTAAAGTTTGCTGCTCTTCCATTGTTATCCATTTGTTTTTGTAGCTGGTTTCAACTATATTCCATAGTTTCAACTTTTTGGACAAATAACTAAACAATAATTTTCCAAAATATTTTTAAACTGCGCGAACCTTAATTTTTTATATGGTTTAAACAATTAAGTATTCATCTGTTGAAATTAAATGGGTTTTTTTCAAAGCTTTCCAACTGCAACAACTTAATTAGAAAGTTAATACTAATCATATTCCATTATCAACCAAACACATAATACTTTTCTCTTTTTTGAAGTCCTGAGGCTAACTTTTACCAAAATACTCTAGCAACAATGATACAATCATTCAACCTCTTTGAGGTATACTTATCAACTGCTTCTAGATTTTTTTTTAACTAGCGATTCACTACGTTTTAGGGTAAAGCAGAAAATTTCAAAATTTGATCACCCAGTTTGTTTTTTATAATGCCTTTTAGGTAGCGGTGTTCCTTTAGCCTGTTTATCTTTAGAAGTGTTAAAACTTTAGAATTTAACTGAACTTCTACTGACTGGAACTTTAAAAGAAGATTTATTCTTGACTTCATTAAAGAAAAGTGAAAAAAAATGAAATCTTGAATAGCCTTCTTGATAGCTTGAATAAGGATTAAAAATAAATAAAAAAAGGAAATTAAGATATTTTGAAGCAATCTGTCTTTTTGATTACTTAAAACGTTTTGTTTAGAAAGAGACTTCAGATATAACTTTTTTTTGAAGCAATCTGTCGTTTTACTAGTTTAAAACGTTTTTTTAGAAAAAGATTTCAGATGAAACTTTTTTTTTCTAAAACGTAACGATTAAAAATCAAATTTATCTAATCAAAATTTGAATAGCATAAATTTGAAAGAAAAGCTGCGTAACTTTATACGCAAAGAAACTTTTGCAAAGACTTTTATTTTTTATATCTTTAAATTTTAAAAATAGAAGTAGAAGGTCAACCATAAAAAATTAGCAAAAATTTGTTTTTTGAACTTTTCTCAAAAAATTAATTAAGAATAACTGGTTAAGCAAGAAATATAGAATTTTGCCCCCCCCCCCCTAATAAAGAGATTATGAAAGTAAATTGTTATGAGAGAAAACTAATGTGAAACCTTTGATTTTAACGTTTTTACTGTTTACGGAAAGTTAAAATATGAGGTTTTTAGCCATTTATTGAATACTTTGATGCTGTAAACATGGTAGCTTTTTATTTTCCAAAAAAAGAGACTTTTGGAATGTAAACAGTTAACACATTTGTTTCACCTGTTTTCATGACGCTACCCCGTCGTATTTTGTGTATTTTGTTTTATACTTAGATTTATGAAAAAATGATAAATTATATAAGAAAAGCTTAAATTCTTTTTTTTTTTAATATATAATAGCAATAGTTGAAATTTAGTAAAAATAGTTGAAAAAATCTTTAAATAAAAGAGATACTTTTTGAATGTAAAAAATTAACAGATTTGTTTCACCTGTTTTCATGACGCTGCCACGTCGCGTTTTATGTATTTTAGTGGTTGTTTTATTTTGTTTTATACTTTTATTGAAAAAAGATTTATGAAAAAATAATAAATTATATAGGAAAAGCTTAAATTTTTCTTTTTAAAAATATATAATAGTAATAGTTGAAAATAAGCAAAACACACAAAAAGTTGAAGTTTAAAAACGCAAACTTTAGTTTTTAAGAAATGCAATTTTTTCGGATCTAAACGTAACAACGCTGAGTAGGGAAAAGTTGCCGAAATTAGAACTTTTAAGTAATAAATATTTGTTAACCGAAGATGGCTTAAAAATAAAAACTTTATTTGATTCATACAAACAAAATATCCTACTATCCTATAACAAAATATTCTACTAAATATCCAAAATATCCTACAAAATATCCTATACTTTTAACCAGAGTTTAACTTAAATTATTGCACTGTTATTCGGTTTTGTAAAAGCACCATAATGTTCCAATCAACCGGTTTCCTATATTGGAACTTTTTGATTTCATAATCAACACAGCTCACTTCTTTTTAAAAAAACTTATTATCGGATTTAAATTGTCTGGGCAAAATCAAATTCCTTAAACAATAAACTGTACAAAGCTTCAACTGTTATAACTTTCTTTTACTTTATTATTTAAAATCGCTAAGTAAAGTATTATTTTTGAGGTTTATGTTCTATTTATTTTTAAATTCCCATTGCATTACACACGAAAAATCGTCCACACCAGTATAATTTACCCGGTACAATCAATATAGTATGAACACAAAATTAAATCACCTAAAAAAAAGTTAACACAAAAAAGCATTAGATTGATGAAGCACGTGCATTTTTTGAGGAATAACTTTCGAAATCTCTCAAAACGTAGAAAATAAGACGTTTTGTTAAATGTAAAATATAGCCATAAGAAGTTTATTTCTAAAATAAATGCAAGTGTTCAAATTAAGGCGTTGTTCCAATTAAGGCAACTCTTCCCCAAATAGATTTTTGTTGTGAAATATATCAGTATATATAAAATTTAAAATAAAGTTTTAAGTATATATGTTTATACGGATAGATATATGTAAGCATATATAAAATAAAAATATCAAAAAAATAAATAAAAATATCAAAGTGTCGTTTTTTTAAGGACCAAAATTATGCAATTTTGTTAGCCATTCATACATCGACAATCCATTAATGTCTTTTAAAATTTTATTTTTAAAATTTTTCTATTGCTTGGAGTCTTGTAATAATTAAGAACTACAGTTTTTATAGTTTGCTCTAAACCAAAATGGCCCTAAGATTGATCGCCAAGGAACCATACATCTGATATCCAGAACACCTGACTCCTGATAACTTATTAATGCATTAATCATTAATGACAAACTGCTTTCTATTACTCAAGTAATTTTTATAGCGTTTACATATTAGGCCTTTGAAAATATTTTAATTTTGGTAGTAAAATACCGTGATTTTGTTCAATGATAGCATGCTCAGTCAAACAACTTTTTTGAAAAAAATTAATTTTTATATATCAGAATTTGTTTAAACTTAAGTATATACTAAGTATATCAGTATAAAGTGAGTGTTAAGATATGTCAATACATCGACAAATGTGTCCATAGGAAACATTTGTTTTGAATGAGCTTTAATTTTTTTGTTTATTTGTTTGGTTGATGTAACACTCCGTCAGATATATTTAATATATATCAAGTCATTGAACAAATAACATCATATTTTTTAATCGTGTTAATTATCATTTGGAATAGTGCAAATCCATGTATATAGCATTGGCTGCTATAATTGAATATTAATAACATTAACACCAAATATTTATTTTTCATAAAAAGAACATGAATAAAAACTAAATCTATACTAAGTTCTCCAGTAAAAAATCAGTAGTGCAGATACAAGTGACGGATACAAAGGGAAAGGGGAGGGGAGGAGAAGGAGGGTAACTACCCCTCCTAAGAAATGTCAAACTTCAAAATATTCTTGAAAAATTTATAAAAGAAATAACAAAATGCCAAAAATTATTCTGCAGCTAACTATTAACATTTTTTTTTTTTTTTTTGCAATACTAAAACTATTTCATAGCATTACAAAAAAAAGCATAGCACAGCATATATATATTTTTTAATTTAATTTTAATTTGTAGTATACTTTATATACGCGATACCGTTTTTGGTAGTTAAAATTTCAATAAAAAAGTATTTATTTTTCAACAATTAAGGTTGCAATACAATTTATATTACACTTATATACACTTTAAATTGTATTTAAATAAGATACGAAGAATTTTTTTTTTAAATAGTAACTAAAAGGATTTCTAATGAATTAGTTTTTTATTTTTATATTTAGAAACTAAAAGTGTGCTTATTACTATTTTAAATAAATAAATGACAAATAATTTTTACTATTTAAAATGAAATTATTTTTATAAACTACAATGACCAACAGGGTAAAGAGGACAAGCTCTTTAGATCACTATTTTGTCAAAAGAATTAAAATTCTACCAATACAGGACTAAAATTCTACCAATATCATGCTGGTCCTAATGTTTTGTCTTTATCTTTAGTGTCATCATACAAACGATTTAGTTGTGCATTTATTGGCAGGGTTGCAAATAATCAAATTATAACGAAACTTGACTACCTGGACTTGATATGGAAGCTGCTAAATTTACAAGTAAAACTAACGCAGAAATTAGTAAATAAGATTAAATACTCGCGACGAAAGATGATAGCTATTTGCTTATAGACATTGGGGCATTTTTAACACGTCAGCTAACTCAATAAGATTAATACCGAATATTGAAATAGAATTGGTTTCCTGGTCCAAATTACAAGTATCTATATTCTGTGCATTTAAAGAAGGGTACATATACATAAATTTCCGTGGATAATGATTTCAAAATGCCTATGGAATTTTATGTAAGTATTGCTTTCTTTTTACAAAAGTTGGGGGAATACACAGTCAAGTGCAGTTACTCAAGCTAATTACTTTACCTCTTAAAAGTTATTCAAAGCTTTTGGGTAAGGATGAAGACTTACAATTACATGATTGCAATGCGTATCACAAAGTTGTTATGTTGGCAAAAACTAAATTACGTACATTTGTTAACTAAATTACGTACATTTGTCCGTCTACAAATGTACGTAATTTAGTTAACGAAGGAAGACTCAAACAGACTGAAAAAAATTGAGAACGATTAAAGCCTATAATTGAATGAACGGGATTCTTCAAAAAAGGCCGCATTACTAAAAAAGACAACATCTGAGCCCTTATTTGTAATAACACTTTGTTCATTAACCAATGCGTTAAATACCACAGTCTCTTTAAGTGAGGCTATTCAAAAAAATTATCGGATAAGGAATATGCTAAAACTATTCTTAAACATACCATATAGATATTAAATAAAAGACGACAGAATGAAGAAAACTTTAATGCTATATTTATGACTGCATCAAAGTTGCTAGAAGACTTAGGTTCAAAAATCAAGATTCCACAAATTACAAGAAAACAAAATAATTGCGCAAACCTCAATACCAATGATCTCTTAACTTACTCTAGAGTCAATGTTTATTTACCGGTAATTAATAGCATACTTCAAGATTTACTGTTCAAATTTTTTGATAAAAACTTGAACTCTTTTGAATTAAATGAAGCAATACCTAAAAATTTATTAAATAAAACACAGACAGAGTAAACAGCACCCATAACTAATATATTGAGTTTTATGAAAATGCTGCCCCACATAAATACTGTTGATGTGAATGTCCAATTAATGGAAGTTTTTTCAGAATTCAAAATTTGAGAGCTAAAATGGAAAGACGCAATTAGCTAGCAACAAAACCTACCTGAATGTGCGCTGGAAGCATACAAGCAATGTGATGGTAGTGTCTTCCCTTTAATTAAATGCATTTTGCAATTGCTTTGTACCCTTTCTATTAGCGTTGCTTTGGGAGAACGGAGTTTCTTGATTTTAAAAAGACTTAAAACTTGGTTAAGATCCAATATAGGACAAGAACGATTAAATGACTTAGCTATGATGCATATCCATAGAGATTGCATTATAAATGTCAAAAAGATTATTAATGGTTTTGCATCTTTGAAAAAAAAAATTTAACAAACTATATAAATACAAATGTAAAAGTTTTAATTAAAAAAAAGAATATACTAAAGATATTATTTTGTCTTTTGTTACACATTACAGGCAGGGCCAGATTCACCTATAGACAGACAAGACTGCAGCATGTGCACTATAATTTTAGCGAGCTCGATTATTAAATGGAGTATCGTGGAAAAAAAATTATTTCTCCAAAAAAATTTTCTGCCTAGGGCCCTCGAGGATATAAATCCGTCCCTTATTACAGACAAAATATCTTTTTTCAACATTTGATTTTTTTCAAGAAATTTATATACAGATACATTTAATATATTTATAAGCAAATATTTCTAATAACATAATATAAAAACTAATAAAACAGTAATTTATCTGAAGAAAAAAATCGAATTTTTATTTTGTTAAAAAATCTCTCCATCCATAAGACAATGACCTGGATTCGCCACTAGTAGATACACGGTATTATTCGATACTAGTTATTTAAATTTGCACTATCCCTGACAATATGTCAAATATTTTAGTAGAAAGTGATGATTTGTGGAAAGCATTAATTTTTTGTTTCCATTTTATGAAAAGTGCAGAGTCGCATTGAATGCTTATTGAGGCATATAGTGATCATGCTCTATCAAAAGAAACATTCATGAAGAACGTGGACGACCATCAAAAATGATTGAAGACGCCGAATTGCAAGCAATATTGGATGAAGATGATACTTTGAGTCAAAAGCAAATAGCAGTAAATGTAGCACAATAAACAATTTCTTACCATTTAAAAGCTCTGGGAAAGATCCAAGAGTAGGGAAAATGGGTGCCATAAAAATGGAAAACCAAAAAAACACTTGTAAAATTTTGCTTGTATGACACAAAAGAAAATTAGTTTTACATACATACATTCATAAATACACATTGGCGTAGTAACAAGGGGTGGATGGAGGAGGCGATAGCCCCTCCACCAAACAACAACAAAAATTTGTTTACATACATACATACATACATACATACATACATACATACATACATACATACATACATACATACATACATACATACATACATACATACATACATACATACATACATACATACATACATACATACATACATTCATACATACATACATTCATAAATACACACGTAATAGTTTAACAGTTTTATGCAAGTGGTGTTTTAAGTTTGTTCTGCACCATACTTCAACGAAAAGCTCTACAACTAATAATAGTAATGTGAAAAATGCTGAATAATTATAATGTCAATAGTTCTGAATAATAATAATAATGTCAAAAATTTACGTGGTAGTGATGTAGTTACCACAGTTTATTTATAGATTTTGCCTTTATTATTCGACGCTGACTACTGTTTTTTGTCGTTTGTCTTTTTTTATATCCGTTTTTGGTAAATATATCTTTAAGATAATAATTTTTTTTTACAAATTCTTTGAAATTATCCTCTGTGGGTAAATATTTTGTAAATGCCATCTAAAATATGTAAATCGTGGTTCGGAACACAAGCTTGTTACATAAGGTGCACGAGCGTGTGCATCACCACGAGCGCGCGCGTTTTTTCTTATTCCGTTTCCTGACTGTAAACAAACATAAGTACTCAAAAATTTATTCTCTCTTTTAAGTGATGTTATCATGGAAAAAAAAGAACATAAAGAAAAAAAAGTATCACCTGGTATTGTTTACTTAAGTAAAATTCCTCCATCCATGAATCCACTGAAAATTCGAAGTCTTCTTTTACAGTTTGGGAAAATTGGAAGGGTTTATCTTCAAGCTGAAGGCAAGTTTATTATATAGGAGTAGTTATTGTTTGTGATGTTGGTTAATGATTTCATTGATTTACATTCCAAAAGATGCTTTTAAAACATTTTGATGTTTTCAGAAAGAAAAAAAACAACATGAATAAGTGGACTTTTTGTTTTTGTTTATTTGGGGAAAAGAGATTTTGAAAAAATGATTTCTTTACATCAGTTATTTCAAATTGGAAAACTAATTTTCAGTAAGCTAAAATTATTAAGTTAATGGATTAAGACATTTAGTAATCAAGTTTATCATAATTACTTTAATCAATTAATTAATTTTAATTACAGACGTCAAATTGAAAATATTCAGATTTAACCATTAATTTATTTAACAAAAAAAGCAATTTGTTACTAATTATTTATTTAATCTATACTTTACAAATACTCATGGTCTTCCAATTATCTTTTTATTTGTTGATTTACAAGATCTATTTGATCTTTGTGAGACTAATTTGAATTCAGCTGTTTCATTTTTAGATTTTATCCCATCAGTGTTAATGGTTATTGTCCTTTTATTCACCAAAACTCCAATAGTCATATGCTTTGCCTGGGCATATACTTATATATCAGTTCACCTATTTACTTTGAGATTAAATTTTAATCCTCTGATTTTTCTTTTGTGTGTTCTCCTTTTTCACTCAATCACTTTTCTTTTTATTCTTTATTGTTCTCTTTTATCACAAAATCTTTTCAATGTTGTTTCTGATCAAATTGATGCCTTTTTATCTTTTTTTTCTTTTTATACATCAGCTAGTATTGTTGTTGTTAGTAACTTTAATGCTTATCAAGTTGAATCGCTTGTTTTTTTGTTTGTTTTTTTCCCTATATCTTACTCAGATTTTCTGACTATTTATCTATAGAAATAGAAATTCTCATTTATAATAATGGTCTTTTTAATAATCTTACTTTAAAAATGGTGATTTTTAATTTGGTTATCACAACTATATACTAGGAGTATATGGAGTATCTTGACAAAAAATCACTTTTTAACCACTTTAGAACAAGAAGATAATCTTGAATTAGTTCTTTCTTCTGTGACAGCTTGATCTGAAGTGGATTAGATTCTACTGTATAGCGCGCTTTTTCTTAATTATTTAAAGTTTGTTTTTTGCAGATTGTGATTTCATTTTTCATTCCAGTTTCACATTTTTTATTTAACATAAAAAAGTTAAGGTACTATTTATATTAAATTCGCTCAGACAATAAGTTGTATTAGACATATGAATATTTGGTCTGACATAATTTGTATGAATCAGTTTAAAAAATAGGTTTGAATTTCATAATATTTTTAAGCAACAAAAAACTATTATTATACAATGATTTGATTCAAACTGCTTGACAGTTGTTCTGTTCTACCTCAGTAGTTCTCTCATTGATTGCATGATATAATTCTGCTTTAATTTGTATAATTTTTTCTTCTTTAGTGCTTTCATCCATTTTTACACTAATTTTATAAAGTAAAAATAAAAATTTGAATAATGTAATAATTTATACCATACATACTTCCAAAGAATTAAAGATCAGAAATATTTATCGATAACATTAGTTAGGACATACCATGTAGTTACACATAATATACAAGGATTAGGCAACTAAAAGCACAAGTAAAAAAGTATGTACCTAAAGATAACCATAGCTGAGTTGAAGTAGAGGTCCAAGGAAGGATATTTATTACCATAGTTTGTTGTACACATTAATCACTTCAAAACAAACGGAAAACTATTAAACCTCTTAAATAAAAAGTTTATTTTAATTGTTAAAAATAACATTAAAAATATAAAAAATAAAATACAAAAATAAATACAAGAGTACTAAAGTCTCAACATGACACAATTTATAATGCTTCTTTAGTTGCTATCACCAGTTGCAATCACAAGTGCTAACAGGCAGTCTGCAGGAAATCTAAAACAATGTGAATGGTTAATGTTTGATGTTATTAGCTTTGACATGAATAGTTTGTAAACAACTATGATTTAACAAGACTGCATTGTTATTATTTAAATTTTTAAATCACAATAAAAATCCATTTACAATTATAACCAAGTGTAGAATACTTACAATTATAAACATGATTATTCAAACATAAACAAAGGTATTTTTAATTATCTTTGACTAAAACTTCTTTTTTAATTTTATGTTGCATTTGAGGTACATGTTATGATTGTATATTAAATTTGATTCAACACTCTGTGATAAATTATTTGAAAGTCTAATTATACATAGATAAATTTTAAATGTCATGTAAACCATTTTCATGTAAAATCATCAATCACTACAGTGTAATCGATGATTTTACATGAAAATACTACCATTTGTAATTGTATAAAATGATTATTGTAATCATTTTATTAACTTGCAAATGCTACTATTTGCAATTTAATAAAATAATTATTAAAATGATATCGCATAAATAGCATACATGCTTTACCATGTATGGTCTATTGTTAGAAAAAATATATAATCAGTTGATAAATGAACATGTAAATAAAAATTATGAAAATAATACCATAGAGGTATCAAATGAAGTTTATCTGATAACTCCTGCAAGTTTATATTTATTCATTACTCTATAAGTATTTTTTAAAAGGTTTTTTTTAACATTTATTCATAACATTTTATTGAAAACAATATAAAACATACTGTTCTTGGTCTAAAAAAATGTGCTGCTATTACACCATTTACATCTCCTTGTAGTTGACATCATTTTCTAACCAACTCAAATCTCCGACATAATCCATTCACAGAAACCCAGGCCAGACACAACAAAAACCTGTATGTTTTAAAAATTTTGTATATTTTTGATATACAGAAAGTGTTTTTTTTAAAAATCTGTAAACTATTAGTTTGTGATATTAAAACTCAGGGTAGGAAAACCTCATTTTATGAAACATAAAAATATAAATACTGAAAATAATTTTGCCAGATTAAGTGTTACTTACTAGATTAAGATAAACTATTTCAGTTCTAAACAAAACCTAACCTCACTAGCAAATTTGAGAAAAAACTATATTGAAAATGATGTCATAAAATAATGAAAATACAACCATTAAATATTAATACTTATTACTTATGGTATGCATAGCTTAAAAGATAAATTTTGAAAATCAAAATTTTAGGAATATTTTAAATGAGGTTGGTACTGCTGTTACTTTTTGCATAATTTCAAAAATGCTCTAAGAGAAACTTAAATTTAACGTAAAACTTAACTGGTATGCATAACAATTCTAAATCTATTGACAAAGCAGCTTTCATCAGAAACTGATAAAACTGTATGGCTTACTTGGTAGCTACTATGTAGGTTTATAGAATTACTTAGTAGCTGCTAAACAGGTTTACAGACAAGGAAAGTTCATTACAACAAAAAAATACAATTGAAAAGATATTTAAAAAAAGTTATATTTAAAAACTGCACTTTAATGTAATATTTATGTATTTCTTTAACAATTAAAAAAAAATACAGGTCTGATTCTTCTATTTAATTTTGTCGACCCAAAAAGGTTAATGATAAATGCTATGAAAGAACTAAAAATAAACTAAAATAAAAACTAAGTTTTATAATTTTAAGGGCTTACTGTATAGTTATTTATACATTATTTAAATAATTACATATAATTTTGGCATTTGTCCAAAGTCTGCACCCAAATAAATTAATGTCTAAATGGTCTTAGATTACAAACCAAATGAAAAAGCCCAAAATAAGCACAATCTGTGCCTATGTTTTTTTTTTCATTTGGTCATTATACAATGACTAAATAATTTAAGTGTTTCATAAATTTGTATAAAAGATAGATATATATAAAATATATAAACTTATATATAAAATACTTTATATTTTCTTTTACAGATGAAAGTAAGCGCAAAAATCGAAAGAAGCTTGGGGGAACTAGTCGAAAGCAGTTTACTGAAGGATGGGTAGAGTTTTTAGACAAAAAAGTTGCAAAATCTGTTGCTCAATCTTTAAACTGCACAAATATTGGTATTTATTTTTTATTCTAATGATAATAGTGTTTTTGATTTTAATATATATTCAAAAGATAGGTTTCCTTGATTATTGTGAAAAAATCATTGGATTAACATTAAAAATGCCAGTACTTGAATAGCATAAAAAATTCTAATATTGTTATTACAATATTAGAATTTCTGGAAAAAGTTAGTTTTGTAATATCGAAAATTTTTGTAGTTAAGTATTAGGGTAGGGTATATGACAAAATTTACATCTAAATTAGGGTAGGGTACATGACAAAAAATTTTCTGAATGAGTGAATCCTGAGGCCATTTGATGCGCTAAACATGATTATGAGGAAATTTTTGACCTATTCACACTCCATATGTCGGATTGCAGCAATTTTTTAAAAATGACTGCCAAAGTTGCCATTTTTTTAAGCAGACTTTTTTTTCTTCTCCAAAACAGGCCTAATAATATGTCATTTGTAATGTTTTTTGGCTTGGGATTCCAAAAAACCCACATTGATAACCATATCTCAGTGCATGTGATGAATAAAATTGCCTAGCGCAATATTTCATGCTCATAATGTTGAAACACGTTATCAATGAGTACAATTATGCACGCTCGGCATCAAGTCTTCAAGAGCGATGTTCAGAGTTGAAAATTAATTGTGATGGGGCTATCCATAAATTACGTACGCAAGTATGGGGATGGGGTCACTCAAAAGTGTACCAGAACATACAAGGGAAAGGGTGGACAATTTTTCATTTGAATTTTTTTCATGTGAAGTCCAGGAAATCAGATGAGAAAACTTTCATTTTTTAGTTAATGCATTTATCTACCAGAAAAAATATGTTACTGCAGCTTTAATATTGTAATATAAAAATGTAAAATAATGAACAATCGCCATTTACTAATAGTTGATAAAATATCGTGACATAATATAATATGACAACATTGTTTCCTATTGGAGTTGAACTAACATGCTTGATTGAGGACATTCTATACAACAGACATGTTTTTAATTTAATTTCAAATAAGTAATAGTTATAATAATAAAATAATAGTAATAATAATAAAAAATAAAAAATAAAAAGATTAGAATATTTCTTTTAATTCCAAAAGATGCGTGAAAAGTTATAAACAATAAAACAAAGAAATCTTATGTTTTTACAAATTCTTGTGGATTAAAACTTTTGATTTTTTAAAATTCAATCAAGTTTTAATTTTTTAATTTAAATTTTCTATTCTCATTGGGACAAAATGTTTTAAAAATAGTAAAAATTCCATTCTATCTATTAGCAGTAATAACTTGCTATTCATTGTTTGTACAAAACAGAAAACTGCATTCTAATTTAAACTGAGTGCATGATTTAATTATTATCAAGTGAATAATTTTTTATATACTTGATTATGATAACTTAATAAATATATAATAGACATATACTAATATAATATATATTAGTTAAGTATTTATACAAATATAATATATAAATAACTTATATACTGATGTATTTTTTGTAAGCACGTTAGTAAAAATAGTGATGTTACATTTTTTCTTTCGTTATTTGTGATCACGCTTCCAAAAGTTTTAATTCAATGTTATATAGCAAATATATTTGTTCAATGTATTGTTTATTGAAACTTTTATTTTTAATTATTAGTTTTGTTTAGCTTTAACTTTTTTAATAAATAGATTTTAATATAAGCTTAACTGATTGGAAGATATAAGTGAAAATATTTAGTTTATTAACTTAAATTTGACAAAAAATATTTGATTCCAACGTTTTGATGTTTTTGAATTTTAAATATAATAGTCATTAATTAATAGAATGTGATTGAACCTGTATGAAATCGAAGCTGTAAGTGAAGTTTTAGTTTGATAAATATTTTTGCTAGATATTTATTTAAAAGATAATTACAAATATTACGCTATATATTTATAAATGTTGCGCTAGATAATTTTTTAACATTTAAGTTTGGGATATTCATTGAAGTGTTGCAAGTTTTGATATTTTGTTACTTGGACATAATGCAATTCAAAGTAAAAATTCTAGAAGTTTTTTTTGTCAAATGGACAGTAAAAAACTGTACGAGTTAGCGAATGGTTCGACTTAACCAGGATACAATTAAGCAGATAATGTGATAAAGTTTAACTAGAATTGAAAAAAAAAAAAAATGCTGAACATAGCATAGAAATAGAAGAAATAGATCATTTTAAATTTGAACTTATGCCTCTTAAATTAAAATTAAAGTACATTACACATAAATTATGTGTGGCATACTTTTATTGCAAATATAAGTTATTTATTTAACAATATGCAAACTATGTTTAAAAATATTTTGATTTTAGTAAAAAAATTTTACTAAAAATATTTTCTTTGAAATCAAATTATATTTTCTACCTCGCAAGTTCTTCAGACAAGCGCGATTTTTTACTCTCATAGCCTAACTAGCAAGCGTTATTTGTTGCTCCTTGAAGGCCTTTTATGGGCCTGTTTCATCAAGTCAAGGTGTTTGAGTAATCTAAAAAAACATGTTATTTTTCTCTTTTTTTGCGCTATTGCACAGCTCTCTCTTCTAAATTTATCTTCTCACCAAGTGAGCTGTGTAGCAAGTCACACAGGCACATACAGTACACATGACAGTTGTCACATCCCCACTAGTGTAAAACAATGGACACTGCTCCAGAAGCCATCAAATCGAAAACATATGCTACAATGGGTTCAACAAATAAATAAAAGAGTAAATAAAAGAATTGATTGTGTTGTGAAATGTCTCTTCAATGAAGTTTACAGTGAACAGGAAAAATTCATCGCTCGCCCTAAACTCCAAACACACATGTTGGGTTGAATGCTTATTTGTGTACCACAAAGCCAGGACAGAAGTCTCAAAATGCTGCCTGTAAAACTGTAGCATTCAAGTTCATTGAAGATCAGATTGCGAAGAATGTTTATCCTTTACATGTCAATGTTGCGAAGAAATTTTGCACTATCAAAAATTCATAAAATTCAGCAAACAAGAAAGAAATAAAAGTCATAATAAAATGGATTAATAGTACGTAGAAGTAAATGAGTTCAATGATAGCTTGATCTAACATCCGTACATCATGCACTAAAGACAAGTTGTACCAAAAGAAACTGGAGCAACAATTTGGTGTGACAGTGACAGAAGAAGATGAACTATTCTATCAAAATAACTATTCTATCAAATGTCGGTTCTTACACTGAACTATTCTAACAAAATAGCTATTCTATCAAATGTCAGTTCTTCACCAAACTGCACGAAAACTGATGTATCCTGCATCACCAGAACATGTTGACAGCATCCCTATCAGTGACTCTGATCCTGAATTCCAACTTCTCACCATGAATCTGGATGAATCTAATCATCTAATCTATCATCTGCAGTGACAAGGCAAAAATTAAATTTTCAATTGCCGTCTACTTCAACGGTGGGCTCCTCTGTGCCAGATCATTGTTCATTTCCAAAAATAAAGGTTTGAACTTTTGTTTTTGTCGCCAAGCCATGCATCTAGGTCTGTCTCTCTCTCTACAACAAGTACAAACAATGGCTGAATGCTAAGAATGAGCTTGGCAGGTTCTGTGGATTTTTTTCGAACCGATTCAGAAGAATCGCAAATTTCCAAATAGTTCATAAAATAGAAAGAGTTAATAATGCAGTTTTTTAGCAATATGGTTGACATAAATTCTAACAAGTTAGTGCTGGCAGTATCTACGTACATTCAAAATGATTGGTTTCAGTTGTGTGCTGAAATCTATGCTGAACTTGGCAATATCTTGATATTTCCAGTAATGGATCTTCTGGGGGCGGATGACCGTGAAATCTCCACAGATGATGAACTGTTACACACCATTTTGGGATGGTGTGTGAACATTTGTTGAAACCAAAATTCCTGAACTCAGAAACCTGAAAGCCAAAAAAAGTCAATCAACTGCTGGTAAAGACCTTATTGGTGCTATTCTGGAAAAAGTATTAGAAACCCTCAATTAGACAGTTATCTGAAATGGACTTCTTCAAAAATCTGGATATTACTTGCAAAAAGTTGAAACTGTCACCTCTCACCAACCTAGGGTGTGAATCAGAATTCGCAAAATTTGACAACCAAGTCAAAATATGTGGTGGCTCCACAACTGTCACTACGTTATCCCAAAAAAGTTGTGATGACAAATGGTCGACTTAGATTCATCCTTTACCGAACTCGCATATGGGGACAAGAGAAAGAAATGGAAATGGGTGAAGATGTCTGCTGAAGTAAAGCAGGTCAGAAAACTAGAAAAGGACTTTATAGTAACCATTCAGGCCTATTACAAGGTTTAATCTGGATCAAGGTGTAGGGGCCTAAGAAAAATTTGTCATTATAATGGCCATTTTATAAAATGACTGCGATCTGACATCAAACAATATAGTGCAGCAAAATGCTTGGTAGATTTGTGTTCAAGATGAAATTTGGCCTCGGAAAATGTTTGTTCGTTAAGACTAGCTCAAAAAAAGTCCTCATGTACCCATTCCTAATAAAATATGAAAAGAAAGAAAACTCTTTAATTTAAAGTCTATTGATGTTTTTTTTGTGTAAAAAAGAAACAAAATCATTTTTTTAATTCTATTTCAGTCTTGTATCATAGTCATTGTTTTGGTTGATATCAATATCATGGACATTTGTGTTTCCGCATTGACATTGTTTAATAAAGATAATGTATTTGGCCAGAAAATAAATCAATTTCATGCAAAAAGATTTTGTTTGACTGAAATGAGTATATCTACTATTGCAAAATCATTTTGACACAGCATTTAGACACATGCCTTTTTGCCATTTTGACACATGCCATTTTTGCCATTTTTGCCATTTTGACACATGCCATTTTGACACATGTCATTTTGACACATGTCATTTTGACAATCATTTTGACACATGCCTCCTTGATAATGGCTATGCAACTCTTCCTGTTATCTCCATATGAGGGTACAGCTCTAAAACTCAGTTAATGGTTCTGAGGCCGGCTGGTAGTAAGGTTTTCCAAACTCTGTGGTAGCTCTCAGAGAGGCTGATTCCATCAACAGCTGCAAAATATCAGAGTATTAACAGTGCCATGTTGCGCATGGATGGTGTCCCTGTTACTGCTTTTGGTGTGCATTGTCAAGGCCACATAAGGAGCCCTATATCACGGCTTAGGGTTAATTAACAGGACTGAGACAACTGCACAGCTCATTGATTAGGAGGCTGTGCTCTATCTATGAATGAGTCAAGTTCTCATTAAACCCAAATCATGACCAAAGTAACCAAAAATTTTAAACCTAAAAAACCACAACCTAAATGTTTTAATTTATCTTTTACAAATATTCGCGGTCTGCGAAGCAACTTTCCGTCAGTTGAGTCACCTCCTGCAAAATTTACCAGACTTGCTTGCACTCAGTGAAACAAATTTAAATTCTGCAATACCTTCTTCAGATGTCAGTGTTGATCGATACTTACGAATCAAATACTATCGGTATTTGATTCGTAAAGACTCCAATAGTCACATGCTAGGTTTAGGGGTATACATACGCATTAATTCCCCTATTTGTTGTGAAATCAGGTTCGAATCCTTTGACCATTCTTTTATGTGCTTTCGCCTAGCACCTCTTCACTCTATCACCTTTCTCTTTGTTCTTTATCGTTCTTCTTCTTCCTATGATTGCACTTCTTTAGATGTTATCTCTGATCAAATTGACCATGCCCTCTCTCTTTACCCCTCTGCCAAAATTGTAGTTGTTGGTGATTTTAATGCCCATCACACTGAATGGCTTGGCTCTAACACCACTGATCCTGCTGGCACTAAAGCCTTTAACTTCTGCGTTTCTCAATCTCTTACTCAGATAGTTAACTTTGTGACTCGTTTTCCTGACAACCCTAATCATTTAACCTTCACTCCTTGACTTATGTCTTATCTCTGACCCTAGCTTATGCTCAGTTTCTCCCTTTTCTCCCTTAGATGGTTCTGACCATGCAATGATCTCTATAAATCTTTCTTCTCGTACTTCTTTTTTGGGCTCACCTTATCATCGCACCACCTACTACTACTCTAAAGCTGATTGGGATTCTTTCCGTGATTTTCTTTGTGATGGTCCTTGGGCTGATGTTTTTTCTCTCTCAGCTGATAAATGCGCCTCCTACGTAACCTCCTGGATTCAGGCTGGAATGGAAGCTTTTATTCCTTCTCGTCGGTTTCAAGTCAAGCTTCATTCTACTCCATGGTTTTCTCCTTCTTGTGCGGCTGCTATATCCAATCATTATTTTCATCTTTTTCAAAAGAACTCCTCTCTTGAGAACAAACGGCTATTTATTATTGCAAGAAATCAATGTAAAAAGGTGCTTTCTGATGCTAAACTCCATTATTCTCAGTTCACGAAATTTTGCATCTTATCACAGAAGTTAGGCTCTAAAGACTTTTGGAAAATCTTCAACAGCATTATTAACAAGGGTAGATCTAACATTCCATCTCTCATTCATGGGACTGATCTTATTATCTCTCCCAAGGACAAGGCAGAACTACTTGCAAAGAACTTTTCTTCTAATTCCACTTTTGAACCTTATGGACATTCTCTTCCTTCCATTCCAGTCAAACAGGTTGACCCATTGTTAGACATTCAAATCACTCCGGCTTCTGTTGCTAAAGTCATATCTCAATTAAACTCGTCTACAGCTTGTGGTCCAGACAACATTCCTGTCACAGTCTTGCAGAATTGTTCTCCAGGACTTTCTTCGATTCTCTCTAAACTATTTAACAAGTGTTTGACTGAGTCTTGTTTTCCTGCTTGTTGGAAAATGGCATCTGTGGTTCCAATATTCAAAAACTCTGGAGAAAATTCTGATGCCTCCAATTATCGTCCAATCAGTCTTCTTTCTGTTATTAGCAAGGTCTTTGAGTCTTTGATCAACAAATTCCTCACATCTCATCTTGAGTCAAATAAACTACTGTCAGACAATCAATGCGGTTTTTGATCCTCTCGCTCTACGGCCGACTTGCTAACTGCTGTAACTGAAAGATTTTATTGTGCATTAGATGGAGGAGGTGAGGCTAGGGCTATTGCTCTCGACATATCTAAAGCTTTTGACAAAGTTTGGCATGTTGGTCTTCTCCATAAGCTTGCTTCATATGGTGTTTCTGGGAAAGTTTTTGAGAATATCAAATCATTTCTTTCTAACTGGTTTATTAAAGTCATCCTTGAAAGCCAACACTCTTCTTTATTTCCAGTAACTTCCGGGGTTCCCCAAGGTTCCATCCTGGGCCCTGTTTTGTTTCTTATCTACATAAACGATCTTCCTGACAACCTTTCATCTAAAGTTGCTTTCATGCTAAGGTTGCTTCTCTTTATCGTGCTCGCCATTTCCTTACTTCTCTACCTCTACAAATCTCTTATTCGTCTCTGTATGGAATACTGTTGTTATATTTAAGCTGGTTCTTCTAACAATTCATTTTCTCTTCTTGACAAGGTCCAAAAACGCATTGTAAATGTTGTTGGACCTGGACTATCTGCTAAGCTTGAGCCTCTTTCCCATCGTCGTAAAGTTGCATCTCTTTCTCTTTTCTACAAATACTATCATGGTCACTGCTCAAAGGAGTTATTATCTCTAGTTCATTTTCGTTTTACTCGTCATTCAGCTAAGTCTCATTTATTTACTGTATCTGTCCCTGCATGCTCTAAAAACTTTTATCTATGTAGTTTTTTTCCCCGCACTTCAATCCTTTGGAACTCTCTCCCATCATCATGTTTTCCTGAAACATACAACCTTCAACTTTTCAAGTCTTCTGTCAACCGTTTCCTTGCTCTATAACTCTGTTCTTTTTTTTCCTAGTAACTCCCAACTTAATAGTGGTTGCTTGCAGCCTCTCTCCCATCATCATGTTTTCCTGACTCATACAACCTTCAACTTTTCAAGTCTTCTGTCAACCGTTTCCTTGCTCTATAACTCTGTTCTTTTTTTTCCTAGTAACTCCCAACCTAATAGTGGTTGCTTGCAGCCTTGTTAGGAGTGAATGCAAATTAAAAGTAAAAAAAAAAAAAATTATTTATTTTGCTCACTTAAATTTTTAAGTGCCAAAATTAATCTAGAATTTTTTAAGGAATAAAAGAAAAAATATTATTAATGAAAAAAACAAAAAAAAATCATCATTTTAATAGTTCTATCTTACAACCAAACTAATAAAATAATTGCAAATGCATATAAAATGTAATGTTTTTTTAATTTCTCGCAAAAAACTTAATTGGCTTGAATCTTTACTCTTTTTTAATGCAAATTTTAATTATTAATTGTATTTGTTTAAATTTTTTTAATGTTTCATACTGTTTTTGGTAATTCAATTTTTATTTTTTTTTTATTTTTGTTTTGTTGACTACTTAGTCTTGCATCATTGGTGATGTCATACTAAATAACCCTGAATAGCAAGTAGAACAATTACTGATGCAGGGGACAATAAATTGACTGAGGGTTTAGTTTTTTCTAGTGATTTATTTGTTTGTATTTAGTTAGAGTTGTGTTTAGGGGGTAAAAAAAGATACTACTACCATGATGACATATGGAATATAAAATACCTGCCCAAATTCAAATGGGGACATATCAGCGAAAAATTAGGTACAGGTTTTATATGATTTTTGGATAAACATTAAAATTAAAAATGAAAATAATAAATTTTAATGTTTTTCATTTTAAGCATATGAAAAAGCTGCTCGAGAACAGCGCATGCGAGCAGAAATATCACAAGCAAAAAAAGAGGCAAATTTTTATTTGGAAAATGTTAGCAAGGGTAAAACTATTTCTGCCATTGTTGAAAAAAAAAGAAGAAAAAGAAAGTTACAGGAAGAGGTAATAAATACATTTTTTGATCAAGTTATCCTTATATCATTCTTTCATTACTTCAAAAAATTAATTGTTGAATTAATCTACAGTTGTTATTCACGCAAGTTTCAAAGAGGTTTAATATAAATTTTCAAAAATAGATTATATAAGGTTATATTTTTAAGTTATACGTTACATTGCTTTTATAATGTTGCATTCCTTTTTTTTAAACACCACATAAGATCTATAAACCAGCTCAGTGTTCATCTTTGATTTTTGTAAATTAATTGTGCTTAAATATTTTATTCTGAAGAAGAAAAAAGAAAAAAATTGAACAGGTTGGTTGAAAAGATTTGAAAGTAATACTTATCAACTAGTAGAAAAATCAAATTTATGCACTATTTTATTATTTTATCTTCTGTTTAAACATTTTTAATTTGACAATTAATATTATATAATTTGACAATCAAAATAAAACAGTTTTATTTTGATTTGTCAATTTATTCTTATTTAAAAAAATATTTAGAACAATGGAAAAAATTGAATACTGTACAGTGATAAAATTCTTTGTTATGAAAAGTTTATCAGTAACAGAAATTCATTTAAACATGAAATTGTTAAAGGTATTTGCTCTTTTATTTCCAACTGTGCACCAATTGGTTTTGATTTTACAAATGTTATTAATAAACCATGCAGTGGATGTCTAAAAAGTTCAACTATTTAGACATCCACTACATGGTTTTATGAAAAAGCTTCATGTAAAATGTTAGTTAGTATTCATTAACAACTCGATAAAAAATAATTCAAGTTTTTCAGCAATTTGGAGCGTTTTAAATCAAACAAGTTTTATATAGTTATAAAATCATTTTACAACTTTAAAACTTTTACCTACTGTTACCATCACGATTTTTAAAACTTTTACCTACTGTTACCATCATGATTTTATTCTGATACAAAAACATTTAGAGTAGACTGAAATTGTTTAGCTCCA